ATTATCACCACGCTCCGTTAAACTCTCTTCTAACTAGTCTTGATTCTCAAGAGTACTGATACAGACCTACTTAATATAACGGAAGTAACAGCAGTTCCGGTAGCCTGGAGTTTGTGACCCTAACATGTTTGTTATTGTTTTTGATATTTTTTCATATAGCAATACCATTTATATTATGCTAGGGATGAAAAGACGAATATATCAACTTCTTCAATGCGGGTAACTTTGTAAATTAATTCCTAAAAAAAAACAAACATGCAAAAAAATACAAAAAGCTTTACCTCTTTACAATATTAGATGGACGTGCTATTAGGGAGTAAACTTACCACTTTTCTAAGATTTCATTAATGTTTTTTATTTGTAATAATAAAATTTCTCAGTAAAATTTGTTGCTTTCATAATTTTTAATTAAATTCCGAAGATCTTTAAAACAAAAATTGTATCTATTAATTCGTTACTTACGAATTTTGCTGGTTTAAGGTAAAAAAATGAAATTGGATAGTTAGCGTCGTTTTTAGATATTCACAAGTCATAGTTAAGAACGGAATTAATAAAAAAGTAACAATATTCGCCAATAAGGTACAAACGTCAACGTCAGAACAACTTCCGCGCGTAGCTCATATGAATGAATCATGCTTTATCACAAAATTGCAGCGTCCACGAACCTTCGACGAGCTTACACGGAACAGCTTGCTTAGTGCTTACATTTGAATTTAAACACGGTAATAATTGCACACTACATTAGCAATGAATTTGTATTTTATCGGATTTACAATTCAAAAATCAGCTCATGAATAACTCTTAACCATTTTATCCTCAACTTATCAATATCACAGTCTCACTTCCTACCTTATGTTTATGTAGGTATCGCATAAGCTAATAGACTTAAATAATATTTAATTGGCTACATTACGTTCCTTGTGTAACCACTGTACTATGAATATAAGGTGTAATATAATGTGATGACCCTATTACATCTATACAAATAAATAAAATTGAAGTCTCTGTAATGTCAAAACAACAGCTTTTTACTTAATGCATATGATAGTATATTATACGGTACTTATAACAAGAAAAAACATATTATTATTTTGTCTGCATGTTTGTTTGTTCCGGCAGGCCTCTGTCACTCTTGCTACCTGCGTGAAATAACTACCTAAAATCGCGACGCTCCCGGGCGAAATAACGCAGTCAGGGCTAGCGCGTTGGAGGCGATTGAATGTTAAAGTTTTTTAACGCTGTTTACGTAAATAGTTTTATGTAAATAGTTGTTGAAATATTTTTTGTTTAGTGTTTAGTATATTTAATTGTAGGTAAAAATGGTTGTAAAAGTTTTAATGTAAGTATTTTAAAAATTATATAATATGTATATTACCTATTTGATAAATTATAATAGCAAAACGTCGTTCCTACTATAACTGTTGCTTAGATGGATACTAAATGAAATGACCAACAAAAGGTTTCATATCATTCTTTAAGTTACCGAAGAATTTTAGAAGGAAGTTGTGAAAGGTGAATTTATTTAATTTTTTTGTTAGATAGGTACTCACAGCAAAAAGGAATTAAGTAATAATTTGGTCTACAGAAGACATACCTACGTACTTCATTACAAAAATTAGTTAAAATTTACTTCACTATCCAAGTATTTACTTACATACCTATACTTGTCTTTTGTAATTAAAATATTTTGAGTTATAATAACACAAAATACTGAAATTAAAACTTTGTATACTAACAAGATTTTTAACTAAATAGAATAGATCACATTTCTGTTAGGAATCGTATTTCAGGTTTATTTGTTGTTTACACTATCCACCTATTTCTCCCAAGCGTTACGATTCCCGACTAAAGACCTTGCAATTTACATGCATTAGGCATCGCAGAACTCACATATGGGCGAATGTATGGTTAGTCAATCATAGTCAGAATATTAGTTAGTACTTCACCTAATTAACATAATTAACATTTCGCAATGTATTTTTTTACTTTCTATTGACATCCCTTAATAACCACGGAAAGTCCGCCGTGACAAAAAAGATGCAAAGTAATATGGACACTAGCGCGCAGCGATAAAGTTTTATGTATTAAACGTCGGTAAGCAGTCGACATCAAAGGAGTGCAACTTCTGTACGTAGTACTATTATTTATTCTGTGGTTCCGGTTAATCTCAGAAACGGCTAGACCGATTTTGACGGGACTTTCACTGGTAGATAGCTGATGTTATAAGGAGTTACTTAGGTTAATTTAATTGTAGAAAAATAATAATAAAATTAATTTTCGAGTGTATATCTTTGCGCTGTGGAAACATTGAACTAGTTATGAAATGAAATGAAATGATATGAATGATTTTATTCAACATAGATTATTATGTAATATTTATTGAAAGTCATTTTTTTAATTTACCACTGGTTCGCAAAAAACCTCTGTCCTAGGTAGAACCAGCAAGAAACCCAGCGGGACTTTTTTTAAACATATTTAAACTTACAATAAATTTATTTTGTTACAATTTTTGAATGAATTTTTAAAGAACCAGCATGGTGGCCATCACCTCCCTCCCAGGGGTTATCTTTATTTATGTCTTCATTTATATTATAATAATTAATAACCCTTTTTGTATAATTTTTCTTTAGTAAAACATTTAAACTTGTTTAATGACAAATTTTGTACATATTCTGAGATTTTGTTGTAAAAGCAACATTGCCCCATAAATGAATTACTAATTCTGTGGAATCTGGTAACTGGTATTACAAGCTCATATTTGTTCCTAGTGTTTAAAGTATGAACTATGAACATCTTTGTTATTATGAAAATTATTTATGTTTTTATGTCCATACATTACATTTTCATACATATATTGTGATGCCAAAGTTAATGTGTTTATTCATGCGGATCACTTTCTTTTGTGTATATCTTAATTAATCTATTACCTGTTGCGCCGATCGTCGACCGTTATCGGGCTCGCGACGACGGCAAATCCACGGTGTAGCGATAATATCGCGGCAGTATGGCGTTTTGAAACCTCCTTTTTTGTGGCTTATATTGCTTGCATCACGCCATTGTTACACGGGCAAAAATACTATAGAATTTGTATGATTTTAAAGTTGGTAATTTGTCTGTAATATGTTCTTTTTTTGAATGTTATGCGTATCTTCGTTATTTCATTAAAATATTTAAGCTCCGGGGGTGGTCCCGTGTAAATCGGTAAACCCCATAAGATGACACAAATAGGGCAAGAAGTTTTTAACGTAACTATTTAATACTTACATATGAAATTGGCGTTTTGTACGGGATGAATATAAAGTCAATTTTTTTTAAATTATATTTAATTAATCAAAGCATGCACCGTTGTTATCTATGCACTTTTGCCATCTCATAGGTAGTTCATTGATCCCTATATTAAAAAAACCATGGGGGCGAGAATCAATAAACTCTTTGAAGGCGGTTTGGACTACCGCATCGGAGTTGAATTTTTTTTCCTTGTAAGAAGTTGTCCAAATTCCGGAAAAAATGGTAATCTGTTGGAGCAAGGTCCGGGGAGAGACATTCCAATTGTAGCTCATCTAACTTAGTGGTTGTTTGTTGTGCAGTGTGTGGTCTTGCGTTGTCGTGAAGCAGCAGTGGCCTAGAGCGATTGACCAACCTCGGTTGTTTAGCAGCTAGTTCTTCCTTCATGGTTTGCAGTTGCTGACAATAGATATCTGTCGTAATCGTTTCGCCAGATTTTAGAAAGCTGTAGTGAACGACACCGGCGCTAGTCCACCAAACACTCACAAGCGCAACTTTTTCTGAGTCAACTTTCGTTTAGGGCAGGATTTGGCTGGGTCTCCAGGGTTCAGCCATTGCGACGAGCGCTTCCGATTATCGTACAGTATCCACTTTTCAACTTAACAGGCACACAAACGAAAAATTCGAACCGCATTGTTACCTGCGAAGAAAAATGGATTCTGTTTGACAATCGCAAGCGCTCAGCAAGTTGGTTGGATCCAGGTTCAGCACCTAAACAATGCCTTAAATGAAAAGTTACCCCTAGAAAAGTAATAGTAAATGTTTGGTGATCTAGCGCCGGTGTGATTCATCACAGCTTCTTACAAAACAAGATTAGCATTACTGCAGATGTGTACTGTGAAGAATTGAACACAGTGATGGTAAAGCTCGCACGTCTCTTATCAGTTTTGCTCAATCGCTCTTCCCCCTGCTCCTGCACGACAACGCGCGACCTTATCCTGCATAACAGACGGTTTCCAAGTTACAAGAGCTTGAGTTGAAAGCTCTCCGTCATCCGCGGTACTCATCAGACCTTGCGCCTATAGAATTCTACTTTTTCCAGAATTTGGAAAATATTTAATACCTGAGACTCAGTACAAAACGCCTTTGATGAATTTATTGGTTCCAGTCTAGCTGATTTCTTCAAGAAGGGCATCAATAAACTGCCACTGCGTTGGCAAAGATGAATTAATTGCATGGGTGATTTCTTTGACTATAAGAAATAAAAAATATAGAAAAAATTACGTTACCTTATAGTAAACGGTAATTTCACAGGTAAAGATGTTATATTAAACTCTAATAAAAAAAACAAATTTTTAATCGTATAAAGGAAAACCTCCCAAATTTTGTGACACTACGAAAAGTAGCAAATTTCTATAATACACGATAATAAGACTGACCTTTTTGTGTTTGACTCCGATTTTTCAAACACTGTGTCCAATTGTTTCTTGGGTAAGAGAGTTTTGAGTTTGTGGAAACACTTGATGTATTCTATGTATACCTGTAGCTCAGGAATTCACAGCATTTGGTAGTCCACTGCTTAACATAGGCCTCCATGTACGAACATCGGTTACAGTTGCCACGACTGGCAAGATTTTCAGCTGCAGTTTTTAATTTTATAGTTGGCATTAGTAACATATATATCTCCATAGATCATAAAGTATTTCATTATTTATTTGTAATTTAATATACACAATGAGTGTGTTAAAAAAAGCTATTAGAACATAGTGATTAAAATGTCACTAGCTAATAGTGACATTCATATATCATCAAGGTAATAATACCAGTTAAGCGACTCCACGAAATATGCAATAAATTCGTGGTTTAATATGTTATTATCAACGCTTTTACATTAATGTCTCCAAATGTACGGTTTCTTTATCGCCTAGTTAATATTTTTATTGAACAAACACCGTATAATAACTTAAATTAAAAATTTTGAAACATAAAGAGCCGATGATCTACAAACAGCTGAATACATTTTCTTGAAACATAGCTAAGAACACTCTCGATTAAGACACCTTTGCTGCAGCTATATTAATATCTAGTATAGTAGTTGTAGCACGAGTGGATCGGCTCGACCGGGGAAGGACCACGCTCTTACAGAATAGCAGCTTAACCTTCATTTTTGTATGGTGAGTGTAGAGAACTTCTTACTGGAAAGGAGGCATTCCATCTTAGTTCTCACGGGTGACAACGCATCTGCCATTAATTCGTAGTCAAGGATAGATGTAGATATCTATGTGCTATAGCATCTACTTACTATCAGGTGGACTTTGTTCTCTTTTGTCACCCGTATCCTATAAAAAAAAACTGTCAAACTCAAAAAAACTTAATCAATATCGGTATACCGTTCAGGAGCTAAGCCACCTCGAATTTTTACATAGAGGGGCCGTTCATGGACGGGTTATTACGGGCTCGCACCGCAAAACCCCATGGTGTTCCACCTTCGTCGCATATTGGCGGGGCCACGAAAATTCTTTCGCACACATCCGTAGCCTCACCAGCGCCGGCCGTCCCATGGCGGCCCCTTCTCGGGAGAGAACCACTCCTCCCCATCTCCTTCTCAAGTAAGGCGTACCAGAACACATGGCGCGCTCCGCTTGCCTGTACGAGGCGGATGCTCTAGAAATGTCTTTCCTTTCGGTTATCGATTTGTCGAGCTATATGGTCGGCCCATGATCAATTCCCTTCCATTGGGTCGGATACTCTGTTTCTACTTTTTATAGTTATGCAATATTTATTTTCAGTGTCCAGATGTAATTCTATTAAGTATTAGCTAAACCGTTAACCTAACAGTGGTACCTCTCTCCCCACAGATCAGTAGAGCGGTATGTACGAGTGAAATGGAAAGAAGTGCGAGTGGGCGACCTGGTACACTTGTCTAACAACGAGGCGGTGCCTGCGGACATGGTGCTGCTGCACTCCTCCAACCCGCTGGGCGTGTGCTACCTCGACACCTGCAACTTGGACGGAGAGACAAATCTCAAGCAACGGATAGTCGCGCCTGGCTTCAAGGAAAAGGTATATAAATTAGAACCCGTTATCAGTTATAATAAACATTGATTAAAACTACTTTACGGATTTTATCGCGTTTAATATACTTTAAATTATTTTTTTATTTTTTATTCCCGACGTTTCGGGTGCTTTCCAGCACCCATGGTCACGGGGGACTGAGGTGACTGACGTCCCGATGGCATAGATCGGACTATAAACAATAAATAAAAAAGCTGTAGGTACTCCCAGTTTAACGATGACATCGGGACGTCAGTCACCTCAGTCCCCCGTGACCATGGGTGCTGGAAAGCATCCGAAACGTCGGGAATTAAAAAAAATTTTAAAGTAAATTAAACGCGATAAAATCCGTAAAAGTAGTTTTAATCAATGTGTAGTGTTCGCGTAAATATAAGAAATCATTATATAATAAAGATTTTAATATTATATTTAAAAGTAATTAAGGGCATTGGAGCCGTGGTAGCTTGGGGGCTAAGTGCTCGCTGTAAATTTCACTGTACGGGAGCAACCCGGGTTCGATCAACGCCGGCACCAATGAAATTGTTAATTGCAATTTCAACACCAATGAAATTGGTAGTTGCAATTTTAAGTGTTGATTTACCACGTGCTCGGCGATGAAAGAGAACTTCGTGAGGAAAACTGCATATCTGAGAAATAAGAAAAAAATACGGTTGACCCTACAGACCAACCCTGGAACTTGCCGCTTATTTCAAATGCAAAACGCTCCAATTTCCACCTATTATGACTTTATTTTGATAAACCACGTTTTTTTATTATTTTAAAAATTGAATATTTCATGAACACATCAACCTATTTTGACGAACTTGACGGCGTTTGACGCAGTTTTTTAAGCACTCATAGGTAATTTATTATTATTATTATTACATCAAAAACGATTCAAGAAAAAAATTCGTAGTTCTTTAAAAAAATATTTTTTTGGAAAATTTTCGTTAACAATTTCTCTTCATTAAGCATCAACAGATTTTGATGACGTTTCGCAGCAATCTACGGTGTTTTTCGAGTTTTAAGAGCTGCTTAGGGTTTGGAATTGATCTTTACAACATGTGTTTAAAATATATTTAAAAAAAATTGTTTTTCGAAATTATGTTTTTGAGATTTCTCAAAGTCTACTGGTCCGAATCGGTTCAAATGGTTTAGAAAATCTAAGTATGGTGAAGCCCTTTCGAACGCCACCGAGTTCGTTCAATTCGGTTTAGCCAATCAAAAGTTATGGGAGGGTTGAATACATCCATACACACGTATACGCACGCACGCACGCACACACGCACAAACGCACGTTTTCGGAAACGGGTGAAACCAATAACTTCCCGATTTTTGAAAATCATTGATTTTCATAGCGGGAAGTTACGATAAACGAGAAATAACAACAAAATATTTCGAAGACATGTGAAGTCTGCCAACATGCATTGGGGCAGCGCGGCGGATATTTCCTTGCCCTAAAAGACAACAACAAAAGAGAAGAGGCCTGTGCCCAGCAGTGGGATGTACATAGCTGTAACCTTTGAGTTTAAGGATATTTACAACCATTGAAGGTCGCGTTTGCTGCATTTGATAGATGGCGGTATAACTGTGTGTTTTCTAAGAAATAAAAAATGTTCGGACGATGTAGGGTAGATGGTATACTCTTATCATGTTGTATGATTGGCAACGGCTCTGTTTTACTGTGTTGCTTCTTTCCTAAGCATAGTTTTAATTAATATGCGTTCGATAGAATGTTTTTGAACTTGTAATACTGACAGAGGTACTTTTTAACTTTTAACCATAGTGAGTAATAAATCACTTTAGTAATAAATCACAGACGTAATACTAAACCACTTTAAACCGTAATAAAGTAAATTGTGACTTCGGTGATGTCACCATGCGCGTAAATGTCGGAAAGTTGAATACCCTTCACCTACATATCAAAATCAGACCGTATCGTTGGGAAGCTCAAAAGCATTAACTAAAAGAAATAATTTTCTAAACTACCAATATTAACTCTCAACTTTCTTACATTACGAAATCAAGCTCCTTTCTCTAACGAAGCTAAATAGTAGGTACCATCTTTATCCAATTTATACAAATATGTAAACTTTTTTTTACAATTGGATAAAAGTAATATTTAATGAAAGGAAAATTACTGTTTCATATATAGAGTGTTTATTATTACTACCTCGTTGATCTAGTGGTTTTAGTAGTGTGACTGCTGATCATGAGGTCTTGGGTTCGTATCCCGGGCCGGCCCAAAAATCAATTATTGAGTTTTTCCGTCAAGAAATTCTCAGTAGGTGTCCGGAGTAAGAAAGTTGGCTGTGTCTTGTGCGTTCGCGTTTGCGTGTGCGTGTGCGTGTGCGTTCGCGTGTGCGTGTGCGTGTGCGTGTGCGTGTGCGTGCGCGTGCGCGGCTCACAGGTTTTTGCGCGCGCGCGCGCGTGTGTGTGTGTGTGTGTGTGTGTGTGTGTGTGTGTGTGTGTGTGTGTGTGTGTGTGTGTGTGTGTGTGTGTGTGTGTGTGTGTGTGTGTGTGTGTGTGTGTGTGTGTGTGTGTGTGTGTGTGTGTGTGTGTGTGTGTGTGTGTGTGTGTGTGTGTGCGTGCGTGCGTGCGTGCGTGCGTGCGTGCGTGCGTGCGTGCGTGCGTGCGTGCGTGCGTGCGTGCGTGCGTGCGTGCGTGCGTGCGTGCGTGCGTGCGTGCGTGCGTGCGTGCGTGCGTGCGTGCGTGCGTGCGTGCGTGCGTGCGTGCGTGCGTGCGTGCGTGCGTGCGTGCGTGCGTGCGTGCGCGTGCGTGCGTGCGTGCGTGCGTGCGTGCGTGCGTGCGTGCGTGCGTGCGTGCGTGCGTGCGTGCGTGCGTGCGTGCGTGCGTGCGTGCGTGCGTGCGTGCGTGCGTGCGTGCGTGCGTGCGTGCGTGCGTGCGTGCGTGCGTGCGTGCGTGCGTGCGTGCGTGCGTGCGTGCGTGCGTGCGTGCGTGCGTGCGTGCGTGCGTGCGTGCGTGCGTGCGTGCGTGCGTGCGTGCGTGCGTGCGTGCGTGCGTGCGTGCGTGCGTGCGTGCGTGCGTGCGTGCGTGCGTGCGTGCGTGCGTGCGTGTGTGTGTGTGTGTGTGTTCTTAAAATACGTTTCATAAGGTTACGGCGACAGTCAAATGGACGTAGTGTTCCGTTTACCTTTCTTTGTTGTCTAAGTGCTCGATAAAATACTTAGTTGATAAAAATGTGAATTGGAATTGTGTCCCCAGCTAGCGCCTCGAAGTAACCGTGAATTTACTATTATCTTTTGTCCAATGTAGTTCAGGAACTAGAAAATCACTGAACTGTGAACGTAAAGTTATTGAATTTACTTACGATCAACCTCTTTTGAAGCTGTGACGGTTTTTTTTTCTCAACACAAAAACGTAATCTCCATCCTAGGATTTTCGTCTGTATCGTGGAGGCAGTTTATATACATGAATTGCTGAAGGATACACATCCGGAACACTTATTTGTACGCTATGCAAATACTTGTTCCGTACGGGATTTGAAGCCGTGGCCCTCATTGCTAATGCACTGCGCCATGGAGCCTTGTAATGGCTGAACAATAACATATTATTAATATTAATGTTATATTTTACACAACTCGTTTTAAAAACCGTATAACATTGGCATTCTATGTATTAAAACTCCACTCAAGAATTTTTTATGCAGCGTTCTCGTATTGATTGCACTCTTTAGTAGCAAAGATTATTTTTAAAACTCCCATAAATAGAAACCGTTTACATTTACATATAAATAGAGTACATAGTATTTTGAATTTAATGCAATGATTTGTTTTATTTCAGCACAAAGATTTCTGCCCTCATAAATTTAGAAGCACGGTAGAAGTGGAACGACCGTCGACCAAAATATACAGATTTACCGGAATGATTTCGCACCCAAACGGATGTCGGGTTCCACTCAATTCTGAGAACCTATTGTTGAGGGAGTGCACAATCAAAAATACAGATTACGTAGAAGGTATCGTAGTATACGCTGGCCACGAAACCAAGGCAATGTTGAACAACGGCGGACCAAGGTATAAATGCTCAAAATTGGAAAGAAAAATGAACACTGACGTCATATGGTGCGTCCTAGTGCTTCTGTTCTTATGCTGCACTGGCGCCGTGGGCTGCAAGATCTGGTACGACCAGTACAGCCCGCTTTTATACAAAGTCACCCCTTTTATAACCTACGCCGACAAACCAGCCTACGAAGGTCTACTCATTTTTTGGACCTTTATTATTGTTCTGCAAGTGATGATACCAGTGTCCCTCTACGTCACTATAGAAATGACAAAACTGCTTCAAGTGTATCACATTCACCAAGACGTCGAAATGTACGACCCGTTGACTAATACTCGAACGGAATGTCGAGCGTTGAATATCACAGAGGAATTGGGGCAAATACACTACTTATTCAGCGATAAAACTGGAACATTGACAGAGAACAAAATGGTATTCAGACGGTGTACTGTTGGTGGAGTGGACTACGATCACCCACCGGGTCCGCCCGCCGAGCCGTCGCCCGATCTACCACCTATCGTCTCACCCATCACAAAAGTTTCACCAAACCGAAGAATGCTCCAACATATGCTCGATATTAACGATGCACAGCATACGCAGAAGGTATGATTAAAAAATGTTTATTCTGTTCTCTTAACCTTTTGCTTCTCTATTTATTTTCGCATGTTATATAATTTGCTATTTTGCAGACAGTCATAGTCGTAGTCTTATGATTTTTATTTAGAATTGGTTTTTGCAAATCACATTTGAAAGTAAAGAAAGCCAGGTCATTGCTTAAAAAGTCCCTACTGCAGGAAACCTTGAGAAAAGCGGCTTGAAACTCACAAATATATTATTTTTCCCTTATCAAATTTACCTTACGAAATATATACATATAAAAAACATAAATACATAAACACTCACGCCTGTCACCCAGAGGGGTAGGCAGAGACTACAGACTTCCATTTAGCACGATCCTGACATACCTTTCTCGCCTCTTCCACATCCATATAGCATACATCTCGTCGGTTAAGGGTACTCTTAATTTGGCCCATTTTTAGTATATCGCCAATTTGGTCGACAAACTTCCGCCTAGGACGCCCCTTTCCGACTCTTCCATTCACTTCTGCAACATATATTTGCTTTGTCAGTCTTTCTTTTCTTTTCTTTTTTTATATTATATACATAAGTAAAAATATCTATGAAAGTTCATTAATTATATCCACGAATCTGGGGACACGGAAGTGCACCCGCCAAGTCGAGCAAAAAAGTGGCACGGTCGTACCATACTTTTCTCGAAGCAATTCAGACCATTTTCGACCCTATACCTTCGTTGTGGACAGAACTAAAAACCTGAATTTTCAGAAACCAAGAAGACATTGTATAGACACGGTATATTTCAAATTTGATTCAATTTGAACCAGTAGTTTAGGAATTATAATTAGTCAAAGTTTCTTTAAAACATAAAAGATTTTTAATATTGATATGGTCACAATAATTATGTTAGCTATGTTATGTTATCTAATTACGTAATAACTTAAGACAGAAGGACCCTTAAGTAGGGACTGAATAAATTAACCGACTTGGTATTACATGGACCTCACAACTTTTTACGATAGAAGAACTGAGTTGCGAGACTTGGTTTTTTTACTAGTTATGTTTTTGATGGCATTTTTATTTTTTAAATAGTCGTCTCACTTATAATACCCTTTCTTTATGAGTATCTTTTTACATGGCTCAAAAATGAAACAACCGCTAGCTGTTCCCTGCGACTTCGCCCGCGTGGAATTTTTTTGCGCGGAACCCTAAAATAAAAGTAACCTAAGTTACTTCTTATAACATCAGTTATAAGTCCCATCCAAATCGGCTCACAGGTTTTTGCGTGATGTGTGTTCAGACATTCGTGTTAGAGTTTTACTATAGTATAGTATAGTATAGAAGATAGATAGATATTATTAAATCTACACAAAAATGAGCAGCTAGTTTAAGTCCTATACTTCGAAGCATCAAGTGTAGAAGTATTCTATTATTGAGATAATTCATGCTCTAATAATGAACTGCTTCGGTTTATCAAGTCGTCTGAACATTTACATAATGTATTTATATATGCCTAAAACTAAAATATTGTATTGATACTCCTTAGCTAAAATTACTTCCAAAACAAGTTTTCAAGTAATTTTACTATGTTGTAAAGATAAACGGACAAAATAGGGCTAAAGATATACATACATCTGACCCAGACTAACAAATATTATGATTCGCTCGAAGAAAGCTATTATACTCTTCACTCGCTTAAGAAATACATTGAAATTCTTGCTTTACTTTCCGTTAAAAAAGTTCTCCCTATCGTCCATTTTTCTATTATAGCGTAGCCATAGGTCTAAAAAGTGTTTTCCTTTTTAAATATAAATTGAGGTTAAGATTTCATTAAAATTATTTGTTGTTATTCAGGTGCGTGAATTCCTGTTAATGCTAGCTGTGTGCAACACAGTTGTAGTGAGCCAGCCGCATGTAGATGCTATGCAACTGAGTGGTTCTCAGTGCGGTGGCCAGTTTCCGTCGGAGAAACACGCGCGCACCAACGGCACGCTACGATCCAATGACAAGTAAGGAACAAGTTTGTGCTTATTATAAAAATATATTTTTTAAAGTATAATGGTGACCAGCGGCCGACCTGTCGGTAAGAGGATGCTGTGGCCCATAGACATCTACATCTTATCTCGAATAAGAATCAAAATGCAGATGCGTTATCACACCTGAGATGTAAGATGGAATGCCTCGTATGCAGTAAAAAATGTCTCCGGTGTTATATATTGAATTATACTTAATATTTTATTTTATACAAACACGGCTAAATAGTATTGAGAAAAAGTTTAGTTGTGTAAGAAGTTGGTTCAAGACCATGCTTTACATTAATCTTTAAAATGACCTAAGATCAGAAGTGAACAATGACGAACTGAAATAATTATTATGTCTCATAGTCGATTTGATGATAAATGTTGCTGTGGCCCATAGACAACTGCATCTATTCTCGATTTGTTGTCACCCCTGAGGACTGATGTGAATTGCCTCGTTACCAGTATAAACGGTGTCTGGTTCTCTTCACTATAGGAAACACAACAAAAATATGTTGCTATTTCACGCCGGTATTGTGTGCGAGCGTGATATTCCTCGATCGTGCCTAACTAATCATGCTGCAGTGGATAGACATGTGTCAATCATGAATGATTCGTTCGTTTGAGCTGGTACACTTAAAACTATTCATCTGTTTCTGAATGTTCCGGTACAACCAATCACAAACAATTGACGGAACCTTTTTAACTCGTGATGGGTGTGAATTGTGAATGAGTCGAAAACCGACCGAATCCCGAATGATCTGAATGATTTTTTTTAGTGTAGGGTACTGGAACCCGAAATGATCCATTTGAATGATCGATTCGAATGTACCGGTACGCGTAACGAAATGTATTAGAATGATTCGGTCACGAAAAAGGAATGATTCACCTGTCTACTGCTGCAGTCATAGAATACTTACATAATAAAACGGGGGAGTGGGCGGAGCCTGTGTAGCCACTAAAATGTCACTAACATGTCAATTCACACGTATAAATGTCAACACGAGATGTGTTTTGACGTAACAACCGTTTCCAAATTTCGCATGCAAATTATTTTGAAAATACCAAATTGCACACTATTTACATATAAATATGTATTAATATTTAAACGATTTTTAATGATGATTTTGAATATTAATCAAAAGTCTGAAATGTGTATAAATTTACTCAGCCTGTCAAAACAGCGAATTGGGTTTGTAGTGATAATACGACGTAATTGCTTGTATGTGTGCTTCCTGCGACGCCGAATCTTGTACAAAATAAGTTTGACAGCCATTCTATTGTGTATTATAGTTTTCTATGGCTGCAGTTATAATACACAGTAACGTGGCTCCACTACGTATATTTTTGGAACGAAACTAAAAAAAAATCACAAAAAAGTTCTTTGTGATAGAACTTCTTTTTTGTCTCCGAGTCCGTCTCGTCAGGCACCCCCTCATACTTATTTCTGCCGCAAAATAGTAGGACTTGCACTGCTGTGCTCCAGGCCTTTGCTGCCTGAAGGGTACAGGTAGCCGGTGTAGTTACAGGATGCGAGGCATTCCATCTTAGTCCTCAGAGGTGACAACGCACCTATAGTCTTCTTTGTTTGAAGTCGACTGTAGATGTTGTGGACTACAGCAGCCACTTACCGTCAGTTGGACCGTCAAGTTCGGTTGTGTTATAAAGGTAATTAATTACATAACTTTCAATCAAATTAGTCTTTTACCGATAGTCAATTCATTTTTGTTGTTTGCAGTTCAAAAAATTTCACTACCACACTTGAGTTTTTTATCTTTTTTTATCTTGATACGTACCTTGTTATATATATATATATATATATATATATATATATATATCCACCTAGTGGTAAGTGGGTGCGGTAGTCCATAGACATCTTCATTTATCCTCCTTGTAACAATCAAAATGCCTCATTTCTATTAAAAAGAGGTTTCCGGTTCTCTACGAAACACAGCATCATTAAGCTGTTATTTTCCACTGGGAGCGTGGTCCTACCCCGGTCGGGCCGTACCATTCGTGCTACAATCATATAATAGCTGTAGCTCGACTACTTCTTTTTTTATATTCATAAAACTTCTGATAAGTGTTTAAAGAGTTTCATATTCAGGTATGCCCGCCTAACGGAGTCCCGATCAACAACTCCGTCACCACCGCCGTCTACATCGTCTCCGTTACGCATCCGCTTACCGAAGTTCCCCTTTGGCAGCCGCGACGATACGAACAGCGAGCCTAGCACTTCGGCGGAGCTACAAGTAAGTGTTAGTCGTACAGAGAACTGCTTACCACAGCGGGCATGGTGGTATGGGCCCAACGTCCTAGGTAATCCAAACTGTAGACGATACTTTTCCAATTCACCAGGTTGATTGATTCCTTATAACCTTTACGTGGTTTTAAGATGTAGTAACAAGATAAATACGGGTAGTTAAAACTGCTAGGCACTGCTTGGAACATGCTTCCTCATACTTCTGAGAAGTAAGATCAGGAAGAGGCCGTCGTAATTAGACATCGGACGAGTACTCGGTTTGGATTCGGTACTCGGCGGATTCGGCCTTTTTTAGGGTTCGGCCGAGCATCGAGTATTAACGGCCGAGTATCGAATACTCGGCCTTAATTATATTCCAGATAAAAATAGAGACAAAAAGCCAATTTTTATCATTATTATTACATTAAAACTATTTACTTTATTATACATTAAAACATCAGGAACAGAGAAACAGCAGAAATATTCAGAACGTACATAAGAATCTATAATAGAAATTATTATTGCTAATATTTAAAATGTAATAGAGGAAGATTGTGATGCAACACAAAACATTAGTTTTCGGCTCTATTTGGTCTAGTTTCCTACTTTTTGCTTCATCATTTGTACATTGTATCGAAAGAAAAGTATTGAGTAAGTACTTGTATTTACTCGTATCGTTTTAAGAAACTCTGTGAAAGGGAAATAACCGCGCGCCGCCCGCTACCGCGTTTCTTTTAAAGCCGGATATTCGGCCGGGTACTCGGCCCAATCTAGGCCGAGTACTTGGTGGCCGAATACTCGGCAAATCACTACTCGTTCCTTGTCTAGTCGCAATGCCCCAAAGAGAGTTGGCAGACTACTTTCCATGTCCTCGTAATAATTTTAATCCCTAAGACAAACTGAATCCAAATCAAATCAAATAATTTATTTGTTAAACATAGGTAAAAGTTACAAACTTGGTGGAAAACGTATGATAAGTAACACTATATTTCGCCTAAAAAGGCATACAATATTCGTTTATCACTATTACCTGGCAATATGAAAATAAATTTTTAATAAAATAACAATTTCAATTATAATTGGTATGTTTAGAAATAACATTAATTGTTATCTTAATTATCAATTACATAAATATATATAATTATCATAATATAATTATCAATTACATAAAAAAAACAAAAACAAAAAATTGATAGGGGCGTACTCCAATGGTTTGGGCACGTTGAGCGAATGAGTGAAGACCGAATGGTGAAGAAAATATATAGAGCGAAAGTAAATATTAAAAGGTGTCGAGGTAGACCGAGACTAACTTTCGAAGACCATGTGAGCAAATTGCTCGAAGAGGGGAAGGTCAAGAGTACTCGGATACCTAGACGTGCATGTATGAAGAAGTTAATGAACCTGAAAGAAGCGAAAGAGGTATGTAAGGATCGTGACACTTGGCGATCTGTTCTCTCTGGCTACCCCGTTAGGGATTGTGCGTGAAGATAAGTAAGTAAGTAATAAATATAAAAATATAATAAATAAATCGTCCATTAATTATTGTAGGTACTAAAAACCATTCATTTTATCTTCAAAATGTTCGTTGATAGAGTAGTATGCTTTATATTATAGTTGGCACGTTTCGAAGCTGAAAGCCCGGATGAGTTAGCACTAGCCGAAGCAGCCCTAGCGTACGGCTACGAACTACGTAATCGCTCGCCGGATGAGGTGGAGTTGGGCATAAGAGGGGAGGTCACCAGGTTTAAAGTACTTCGAGTGCAGCAATTTGATTCCAATCGCAAGTGCATGTCTGTGGCCATGCGGACTCCTACGGGACAGGTAAGCAGCTATGCAGGTTTTTTTTACTTCATTGTTTTAATACCAACGATTTATTTATCATGCTGTCATTTTTATTTGATCACGAGCAAGGATTTTTTGAAGTTAACATCGTAGTATGTCATTTTTTTAGTTAATTCCATATTAATTTTTAAATTTTCATCCAATCTATCCATCAATCCATAAAAATTTACTGATGTATGTTGTCCTCCTAGGCAGATGGGTATGTGCTTAACCAGCATTTTCATAGTTTTTAGTTTACGTACTTGTAACATTTTATTAACATTGTGTACAATAAAAAAGAAAATCATACAAAACTTTTTCATTCAAAATTGAACCTTACAAAACAAGGTAGAATTAAAGAGATACTCCATCGCTTCGTTTTATAATAATATTAAAGTTTTATAAAGATCTAAACAAGCATCGATCTTTAGTTGATTATTTTATTTTATCCTAGTGGTCAAAATCGGGATACTAGGATAAAGATATTAAATTATTGTATTGTCATCGATCCTTGGTACGAGTGCAAATCAAGTCAATGGTTCGTCTACAAGTTGATGAAAATGACATTAAAAATTCCGTTCCGTTCAACTTCAAATAAATTTTACTGTTTTTACATGTGAACATTTTGATATTTGTAAATAAGTTAAATTCATCAGAAAAAATTGTTATATCTAATTAGTTAAAATTTGCACACCTCGATAAGGCAGAATGTATAGGAACTTTTACGTTTTAATAATACTCTTGTAATATCTACCTACATTTTATGCAAAAAATAATTATGAATTATGAATTAAAGGAGGCTATAGCGTCGTCACTTAAGAAATCTAAGATAGAATGTCTCACAGCCTGTTATTATACTGTCTATATCTCGACGGCTCCGTGGCGCAGTGGCTGCGCTGGGGGTCGCGGGTTCGAATCCCGCACGGAATAAGTATTTGTATGGCCTACAAATAGTTGTTCCGGGTCTGAATGTTTGTCCTTGTGCAACTTATGTTTGTAAACTGCCCCTACGATACAGGAGAGGATCCTAGTGTAGGGGTAACGTTTAAAAAAAATAATATAATATATATCCTTAAGATCGGTACGTAGCAGTGTACGCAAAAATAGGTAAGAAAGTGGTAACTAACCAGACAGACGTGTAGGATGTACCTTAAGCCGCGAGACTCATATTCAGCAGTGAATTTTACCGGGCTGAAAAAGTAGATTATACTTGAACACATTACCAACTTCGATTATTCGAATATTTCCAATCGATTCTTACGATAGGTTCAGAAAGAACTTATACAAAGAGAAGAGTTGCTTTGTCGGACCTAAGCTTTCACTAGATACACGCGAAGCAAATAGTTTGCAAATGAAGTTTGTTACTGTGCAGGTAGTGTTGTACGTGAAGGGCGCCGACAGCACTATCTTCAGCGCGCTGGCCCCGATGCGCAGCGGGTCGGCGGAGGCGGGCGCGTACGAGCGCACGCGCGCGCTGCTGACGGAGTACTCGCGCGCGGGCCTGCGCACGCTGGTGCTGGCCAAGCGCACGCTGCCGCCCGCGCGCTGGGAGGACTGGCTCGCTGCCCACGCGCGCGCCGCCGACCTCGCCGACGGTCAGTGCCACTCCCTTGTGCCAGAGATGGCGAACCAATGGCTTGCGTGCCATCAATGGCACGTAACACAATATTTTGCGCACGCCACCGATCACAAAGTTCACTATGAACTACTATTACTTATGACGCATAATTCATTTAATCTTCATCATCATCATCATTACAGTACGTTTACACATAGCATAATAGTCAATTTCGTTGACACAACTATATTTAAAAATTTATTTGTGGTAGTTATATTTAATATTTTAACCCCCATATAAGTTATTTATCACATAATCTGCAACAACAAAAGTTACACTAATGTTACTTTAATTTGAATTACGCGTATTACTGAACTAAATACTGTGCGTGCGTCCGTCCGTCCGTCCGTCCGTATACTTACTAACCGTGCGTCCGTGCTTGCGTGCTTGCGAGCGTGCGTGTGTGCGTGCGTGCGTGCGAGCGTGCTGGCGTGCGAGCGTGCGTGCGTGCGTGCGTGCGTGATAGCGTGCGTGCGTGATAGCGTGCGTGCGTGCGTGCGTGTGTGCGTGCGTGCGAGCGTACGTGCGTGCGTGCGACAGTGCGTGCGTGCGTGCATGCATTCGTACGTGCGTGCATGCGTACTTGTGTGCGTGCGTGCGTGCGAGCGTGCCTGCGTGCGAGCGTGCGTGCGTGCGTGCGACAGTGCGTGCGTGCGTGCATGCATTCGTACGTTAGTGCGTGCGTGCGTGCGAGAGGACGTGCGTGCGTGCGAGCGAGCGAGCGTGCGAGAGTGCGTGCGTGCGAGCGTGCGTGCGTGCGAGCGTGCGTGCGTGCGAGCGTGCGATCGTGCGTGCGTGCGTGCAAGCGTGCGTGCGTGCGTGCGTGGTGCGAGTGGGTGTGTATGTGTGCAAGTTTATGAACGTATCACATTACCTACTGATTTGTAGTGTCAGTGTGTGCTATTTAAAACTGGTTCATCTCTTTCTGACCAAAATGTCTTCCACATCATCATAATTAAGAGTAAGAGCCACTCGGTCAGAGTTTTTCTACATTCAAACATTTGCATTGGGTAAATTTTATTTTTTGCGATTGATCTTGTTATAGGCATGAGTGGCTTGAGATATATTTTGTCGAGTGGCAAATACTGTACGTGCAGGGTATGAGCGAGCCACGATTTGAATAACTAAAAACAAATTCTGGCATGCTTCATTCAGCGTACACACAATTAAAAATTGTTTTAATATGGCCGGATATCCGACACAATATGGCGGCGACACGCCAGTACAATGTGGTGTCAATTGATTACGTCATTCGTATTCGGCAGTATACTGGAAACGTTTCGGAACATACCCTTAATCTTATTTCTAAGAGATAGGGCTCGTTGTCGTGCTGACCATTCGTGCATCCATTGTCTATCCATTACAGTCCACTAAACTAAACATAGATCGTCCCCATAGATTACCTCGTATGGAGGATTTTGCCTTAGTTGCCACACTTGGCAGGCTTTTTATTATTTTGAGTTTTTAACAGGAAAATGCCGTTGCACATGTTCCGTTTTAAGTTTCTTCTGTCGCCTCTTACGACACCCACTGGATGGTTTCATCATCATCATTACAGCCCATCACAAGCCCACTGCTGAACATAAGCCTCCCCCAAGGTATGCCACAAAGCACGGTCCTGAGCCACCTACATCCATCGACTTCCTGCATGTCTTACCAAGTCGTCACTCCATCTAGTGGGGGGTCGCCCTACACTTCGCCTACCGGTACGAGACTGCCACTCGAGAACCTTTTCTCCCCAACGATTGTCGATTCTTTGAGCTATATGGCCGGCCCATTGCTACTTCAGCTTACTAATCCGTTGGGCAATATCGGTCACTCTGGTTCTACTGCGATTATTCCTCATTTCGAAGTTTATCACGCAAAGAAACCCCGAGCATAGCCCTCTCCATAGCTAGACTGGATGATTTGAGGTAGTGAATATTTTTACACCGCCTTTACACGGTTTTATTATGCGTTTTTCTCGAAAAACTGTGTTTCCGATTGTGTGCAACGCGATGAAAAACTCACTAAGCAGGATACTTTCTCTAAATCATAATAAAATATAGACTCTCTATATTACAGGCCGCGAAAAACGAATACGCGAGTCCTTAGCGAGATTGGAAAGCGCATTAACGCTTGTTGGCGCGACTGGCGTTGAGGATCGACTTCAAGAAGCTGTGCCGCGGACTGTGCGCGCGCTGCTAGACGCCGGAATAGTAGTGTGGGTACTGACTGGCGACAAACCGGAGACCGCTATCAACATCGCCTACTCGGCTGCGCTTTTCTCACAGAGCGATCGACTTCTGCATTTAATGTCACGAGATAAGGTGAGATAAATTAATTCTTCCTTTCTTATAGAGAGATATTCGGCAATGCTTTAAATTTATTACTCCTACTCAGTTAGGTGAGTGAAGTAAAGAGGACTTGTATGCTATATGTAGTAGTATAATGTCTATTTTAAATTGACTTGTAAATTTAAGGTTTATTGTTATGCCCTAGCTATTTTCGTAGTTGTAGTACCCGCTCTACACCCGGGCATAACCTGGTTACTATAATCAAGGAACGTTGCGCTTTTCGTACAGCGAGCAGAATGAGGTACGGAGTACATGTTAAAAACAATTATTTAATTACAAGCTACCGATTAGACGCCTAATGTAGACGTTAGTCATACCGGTGAGAGAGTTTCAAGGAACTGACTTTCAGGCAAATGTATGTAATTTTGAGGTTTTTCTATAATTTTTTTAAGTCACATTTTTCCTGAACCGCTGTTATCGATACGTAACAATGATCATTATAATAAAACTGTCGTGATATATATTGTTACGAGCTTAGGGTTCGTGACAATAAAAACTGCCGATTGAATTACCGAAATTGGCACTTTAATTGTTGAACACTGAAACGTGTACTGATTTTATTTTTCTCATGTTTTGATCAGTGGTATTTTTGCTTGTTACATTTTATTCAAAAAAGGTCAACTAGTCAAAGTCAACTAGTTAGGCTCTTGCCACTACAAAGTATTATTACGGGTTTGGGGTTCGTGACAATAAAAACTGCCGATTGAATTACCAAAATTGACGCTTTAATTACAGAAAACCAACTACAACTTAAACACACTAATAATAAAACACAGTTACACTGTTGTGCACAGATCATTTTAGTTCGCAGTTATATCGCTTCGAAGTATTCGCTTGTATTGCCAGCTTAATACTGACCAGGGTTGCGGTCGATACCAGCCTTATATAGGGCTTCTTCTACTGAAACATTAGAATGTTCGGGTACATACAGGTCCCGACTTACTAGGTGCAGAAAGTTTTAGTGTGGAATTTTCTAGAAAGATCTGGTTCTGCTACTCGATACTAGATGGCGCTAGTGGTAACTCATCAAGTAGCGTTTAGACCTAGGCTGGCACAATCGTCTGGGTTTTACATAGTCTTGATGTAACGCTAGCATTCAGGTGGCATTGCATTTACTTCTTTCTCGAGGTTAGCTACAAATGGCTTCCATCATTTCCAACACCACTGTCGAGTCAACTCAACCGTAGATCTAGACTTCGTAGCTCCACAGGTTTGATTTAATTTTTGCCATTGACTTTCATAGCAACACTGCTCCGTTTAACTCTTGGCGAGATAGAGATAATGTCTTTTTAGCGCCACGAGTTTTGTTTTGACAACTACCAATGTAATTGATGTTGAATTCTCACGCTGAATTTTACAGACTCGACACAAGCGTAGATCTTAATGCTTGATGCAAAACCCGTGCAGTTCGATGCTGCCTTTTTCCCTTGCTCCTAGCCAGCTGATAGAGTTGTACGTTCTTCTTCTAACAACAAACAACGTGAACAATGTATTTCTGTTCACTTCACCGAGTTCTATGGGCTCCTTTACAGTTCAGGCTACACGTCTTCGCGTCTTTCGCAGTGATAATACTTCGCGTTCCGTCTTTGTACCCTTTTTCTCCCTGAGTAGCCTAGCGTGCGCAAACTTCCGAATGATATAATGAGCTAACATTAAAGTTACACTAGCAGTTCTTTAGGTCCCGGATATATACAGTCTAATTTCTGTTTTTTGTAGTTACTCGTATATTTCATCAATTGTATTGTTTTGTTATATGTCATCAATGTTAAGTCACGTGATAACGTTTGTTTTCGATTCCATTTCAATAAAATTTTCTATTAAACAATTATATAAAGTGAACTTTACTAACCTCGTAGTAGTTCGTTCCTCTCCTCCATATGGGAATAATTATTCCAATGGGAATGGTCGATATCATTATTGATCAGTAATATAATAATAGGCAACGGTGGCAGGAGCACGCCGAGTCAACGATCAAGAGCTACCTGGAGGGCGGCGCGGTGGAGGGCGCGGGCGGGCGCGCGCTGGTGGTGGACGGGCGCACGCTCACGTACATACTAGACCGGCGCTCCGGACTCGTGGCGCCGTTCCTGTCGCTGGCGCGGCGCTGCTCCGCCGTGCTGTGCTGCCGCGCTACGCCGCTGCAGAAGGCCTACATCGTCAAGGTACAGCACTCGCTCGCTGGCACGGCACGGGCGGGTGACGCTCACGTACATCCTGCTGCACTCAGTACTCCTTCTGACAATGAGGAATTCTCTGAGTTTTTGAATAAAACCTATTTTTGTTTTTTGTTTTTTAAATTATAATCTACTATTAATATTTTCAACTTAGAAAATATTAACATATTCAAAACAAAAATCGGACACTAACATTGAAACATTGTTAACGTGATGCACCTTAAGGAGTACATATTATAACAATGGTAATATAGAAATGTAGAAATATTAATTATTCGTGCTTTACTTCGCAGGCGGTGAAGGAAGAACTCGGAGTGACGACGTTGGCGATCGGGGACGGCGCTAACGACGTGTCCATGATTCAAACAGCCGATGTCGGTGTCGGTATGTCATTGTATTGTATGGTTTTAAAATGATTTTCTCATTTACGAATTTGATAATGGTGCTAACTCTCAAACACTTGCGGAAGCTATTAAATACGCAGAATATATTAAATGTTACGAGCATAAACGTACAGACACACTCAACCGGACCAAACCATCTACGTATCCAATTTAACACTTGTGTACGATGAAAATGCTATTAGTAACAACAACCTCTTTCATAAGTAAATCTATACATGGTTATTTATCAAAGACTAGCGAAATTTAATAATTGAGACCAAGATCGTGTGTCTACGAGTCAACGTACGGAGTATTTGCCTACTATTTACTTCTTTAATGACACGCTCGCTACTAAGTTCATAACTGCGACGTGCATTATGATTCCAATTTTCCCTTCATACTTTAAACCGGCTCTGGCTGGCTGTTAGGACTGTCATAATAAATATAATTAAAAATAAATTACATTTCAACGACGTCTGGGATGGATACTATGCAAGTAAAAAGTTCTACATTCCTTGAATTAAATACTATTTCACTCTCACACAAAAGATAGTTCGAAATACAAGTTTAGACAACTAACCGAGCCCCCGCGTACCAATAGAGAAAAGAAAGGAAAGGGGAGGAGGGAAAGAGGCGGAGAATAAATGTAAACAATTAGTTGTAGAAAAGATAGTAGAAGCTGGAAAGCCGATGATATGTTGACGCGATTTAAATAATGGTTACTCAGGCGGTGCGAGCGTAACATCTAGCGCTGACGACTAAAAACGAAGGCGCTCGGACTGCTACAAAGGCAGTGCGAATGCCGGGCATTGCCGACCTCAAAAAAAAATCAACATAATTCAATTAACGACCGAAAAATCTTTTTTTATAGGATAGGGTGACAAACGAGCACACAGTCCACGTGATGGTAAGTGGTTGTTGCGGCCCATAGACATCTACATCTATCCTCGATTACGAATCAAAATGCAGATGCGAGTTTCGATAAAAGCACCAATATCTCCGAAGTTCTACATCATTTTCACTTAAAATTTATACCAAAATAATCATCAACATTTGCTTAAACTATACTATTATTTTTTTTAATTAATTAACATTTAAAAATTAAAACTACCATATATTTCATTGTGCCGGCCATCTGCGATCATTACCGCGCGAGCGCTTGTCGAGGTTGGTCCTGCGTCAGTTGATTTCGCGCGCTGCGTCGTTTCGATACTATCGTAGAGTGCGTCGATTGACGTTTAGGCACTACTATTTTGTGCGTGCTAGAGCATCGTTAACTACGATCGCAGTTTTTGATCGTTGGAACATCGCCCTTAAAAAACCCTAAAACATGAAGTTTTCGACGCTAATCGCTTATGCCCTTTTAAGTCTCGTGGTGTCGCGGTCAGTTAGAAGTTAGAAGTTTGACTTAAGGTGATATAGACAGCACCAGACTTAACAGCGTCTTAAAATTGATCAGCGTTTGTGTATTTGGGCATTAAACTGACATTTCGTGTAAATGTTATGCGAAGTACACATTGTGCACTAACTTTAAGTGTGTTGTGTTGGATGTGCCAAACATCAAAGTAAAAATACTTTTAATATCTACCTGTTTATTTTATTTAAATTAGAATTTAAAATGACGGCTACAACTTTATTAATTTATTATAAATCTTCTGTTCATGTATTATAATACAATCTATTTTTTATATTTGGCAGGGCTGTCAGGACAAGAAGGTCGACAGGCGGTGATGGCGTCGGATTTCGCGCTGTCGAGGTTCAAATACATCGAACGGCTGTTGCTTGTGCACGGGCACTGGTGCTACGACCGACTCGCGCGCATGATCCTATATTTCTTTCTTAAAAATGCCGTAAGTTTTTCAATGAACGCAATTCTTTATAATATGGACGTATTTTTTATGTATTCCTCGTTCCCGCATTTACGAGAATATTCAGGTAACTTTCTCAAACGAATTATTTAAACACTCTATCGTAATTTGTATAATGACTTGTTTCGAAATCTTAAAATAGAATACCATAATGAAACCTTATCTAGTAATTTAAGTAATCCAAATAAAAATATATGAAAATTACTAAAAAGCTTTTGTTATTTTCTTGCACATAAAGATGAATCTCATGATTTACACTGCCATATTCAATGTAAGTCTGTTGACCAGTATTTTTCCAGAAAACTGGAAGATGGCATGAATTGAACCAATTTATAAAAATGGGCCTAAAGACTCTCCGCAAAACTACCGACGCATTTCTTTCCTGACAACATTCTCCAACCTGCTTAGGAAGGTGATTAATAAAAGACGTATAAAATCATTAAAGCGAATAATTTAATCTTTTCGAAGCAAGTCGGCTTTAGATATGAAAAGTCATTAGAAGATGCTGTCACCTTATGAACTTCTACAGTAGCCTGCCATCTGGATGCTCACAAAACCAGTATTGCTGTATTCTTGGCCTTGTCGAAGGGTCTTAATACAGTCTCGATCCTAATACTCTTAGAAAAGCTGGATTCTCAATTTGACGTAAAAGTTGTAGCACTTGATTGGTTTCGAAGCGACCTGATAGATAGAAGACCATGCGTTAGAATCTGCGGCTTTGACAGTGGTCAAGAAACACTTTGACGGCGCGTCTATAAAATACCGGTTGGATCGAGAGTGAGTGAAAGGGTAGAAAGTACACTGTAGGTGTCGTGCATAGATAATATACTATATAGGGCTTGCGAACCTATTTCGACGATGCTGCAAAGGCCGCAGTCACACAATTTTAGAAAAAATTTAAAAGGAGCGTTAGCTGCTCCCCGGGCCGTATACCTTGCCCGGTGAGAGATCTCTCTTTTTCCTTCCACGGCCAAAGTTGTTTTACATAATTTGTTGGTGTTATCATGTAATTACGTCCCTCATGCTACACTACTGTGTGATTTTGACGGGGACATATCGGGGACGGGGATATATTGCGGTATGGTCGGACTTTAATTGCCCTATACTGAATGTATAGTGCATGTAATGATGTATACAAGTTAATTTTGGCGTACCACAAGGGAGCGTAGTTGGACCTACATTTTTTACTATGTATATAAGCGTCATATACGCCAATGTCGAAGATGAAATAGTTTGTTACACAATCAATACAGCTATTATTTATGAAGGATCCATTAGGCCAGAAGTTTTTGGGAAGGCTGATGCGGGAATAAGACATGGCAGCGGCATAATCTTCTCACTCTGAAATCATCAAATTTCAACTACATTTGTTTTCGCCAAACGGCAATTTCTGTCCCTAACTCGACACCCCAATTAAAACTGCACACCTGTGAACCTGGCCGGAACGTTGTAGCTGTGTGGTGCTGACTAAGACTGACCTGGCAAAGTACTTGTATCTTGATTGATCAAAACTTAAACATTATGAAACTGCTGCGACATTCAGCATCTATAGAAAACCTGCGATTCGTATACTTTGCCCTATGTTACGAAAAATCTAAAGCGGGCAACATCACAACTTGCTTCTGCCAAATTTACAGTTTATTTAAAAATTAAAAGTCATTTTGAATTTTCGATTAAAATAAACATCACGCATCGTATTAATCCACTTTCATCGGCTCTCAGAGATGACAGAATGATTTTCATAAAAATAGCGTATTCTAAAATTTTCGTTATGATTTAAATATTAATGCTATAATAGAAGTTATACTAACACTCCCGTTAATGGACCTAGCTTAAAATGCTTATGCTGGGAGTGAGTAGCTAAATGGTGAATTCGAACTCACGAGTTTTTAGTATCCGTTAACGGTTAGGTTGTTTTTTTTTTATTATGGAAGAGGAGGCAAACGAACATACGGCTCACCTGATGGTAAGTCATCACCGTTGCCAATGAACATCTGCCACACCAGGGAATTGCAGGTGTGTTGCCGGCCCTTTATGTTGCTATTTACTTCCGTTATGTTGGTGTTATTGTTACATAAATTTGAAAGCATTAAAAATGTTAGATATTATTTACAACTCTTTGATTCTATCAAGTTTTTTTTGCAGACGTTTGTATTCCTAGTGTTCTGGTATCAGTTGTACTGCGGCTTCTCCTCCATGGTGATGATCGACCAACTACATCTGATGGGCTACAACCTTATGTTTACGGCCTTCCCGCCGATTGTTATTGGTAAGGTTTTTATTTATCTTATTTTTAATAAACTGTATTACTATTTAAAGATACAGGTACAGACTATCTACATCCCACAGTTGAAACAGGCATTCTCTTATTTCATTTTCCTCTACAGTATAAACCAACAAAACAAACAGTACAAAAAAAAGTATGTGGTAAATGAGCAATTAAAATTGTAAATTCCCAATTCCATTGTGGTAGCGGGTATCGAACCCACATTGCTCTCGTACTGCTAACACCAAGTAATATACGGCTAACACAAAGATTATAAGCGTCTATTTTCCAATTATATGAAATATTAGATGTAAGGTGGAATATTATAAGAGTGACTAACGAGTACTTACACCATCAACCTGATGGTAAAACTCTTCCCTATGAGCCCTTGACATAAAAAGATACACAGGAAAACAGGTACATTTTAAACCATGCTCAACTACTACTTGGCATGCACTCACATACATAAAAAACCATGTAGTTGGTTGCAAATGATGTTTAATGCATATTGTGCGTGCATGCGTTTTCGTTCTTGAAGTGTCATTGAAGTTATATGTATTACATAAAACTTAGTATATGCCATAAAAATGTACTATAATGATGCGCAAATTTCTTGTAAGTTGATGGAGTGCACAATGCTATCCAAATAAGAATATGAATGACCTTGCGCCATATTCAAACATAGTTAGGTAAAAAAAAAGAATAGAAATAATACTTATTTAAAAAACCTGTCATCATTGTCATCATTATCGCCGCTGCTCCCCCCCCTCCCCATAAAAATACAACATGGATGTTGTTAATATGTATGTAGTTATATAAAATATTCCACCGACTGTTAATTCAATGAAGTTTGACATTTTATTTCCAGTTTATAATGAAAGTAAAGTTAACATCGTATTACGTACATACGTAAGCGCGCGCGCTTGTGTGTGTGTGTGTGTGTGTGTGGCGCAGTCGGTGGTAGGCTATAGGCGAGATTGTGCGTGTGCAGGCGCGTACGAGCGCGTGGCGCCGGCGTCGCTGCTGGTGGAGCGGCCGGGGCTGTATGGTGCGGCGCGGCGCGGCCAGGCGTACCGCCCACACTCCTACTGGGCGGTGCTCGCGGAGTCTCTCTACATCAGCGTCGTCATATTCTTCGCCGCCGCCAACGCCTACTGGGACACCGACGTCGACGTCTGGCTCTTCGGCCTCTGTAACATGACCTGCTGTCTCGTCGTCATGCTCGTCTACGTGGCGATCGAGACGCGCAGCTGGGTGAGTTCCATTCGTTTAATTTTATAATGTTAATGCGACAAATGTTACCGGCCCCCAGGATATAATAAGTGGCTTCTGCCAAGGGACACCTGACACTTTAAAACAGAGTTGACATCACTGAAAATCGAACGCTTCCCAAGCAATGATATCAATTTGATTTCAGGAAACCTTAAAATCACTCACAAATTAAATTCGTGACTTCGAATAATCGTACAATAATATTCCATTTTATAGAATTACATTACCTACTGTAGTTTTCTGTCATAACGTTATTATTATAATACTTTAACCTTGCTATATTAAATTATTTTACATGCAGCTTTTCAATCAGAAACTTGTAAGTGGAATGTAAATATATATTTAAAATATCACATAAGTCAAAATATTTTCGTGTTCCTAATGGCGTAAACTTTTTAGACTTTTTCATCAGAAGAGATTTTAAGCAAATGCTAATATTTGTCAAAACATTGGCAGATTCACAAGTATTTTGACGAATGTATGTTTTGTCCACGGATTGTTGTCATGGATAAACAATAATTTGATTTTTTTTCCAAATATTATTTCATGTATAAAAGTGAGTTGAGTTTACGCGATATTACGAGTTTTATAGACAATTAGAACTCTTAATAAATTTTATTTTTCAAAATGCACTTTCATTACTCCTAGTTTTTATTTTACCATCAATGTTTTGTTTACAAAATTTATAATTTTTAGGTTTATAGTATTGACGATATAATTAGTAATATAATACAATACCCAATATTGTACACTTAGAAAACAAATAACGTAACTATATAATTTAATAAAAGGAATTCGGCAAAAATTTAAATAAGGCGGTTACAGTAAATGGGTTTACATCTGCGTGGATATCCGTCCATTTCTTTTGGTGTGCCTCAAGGCTCTTTTTTAGGGTCGTTATACATAGACGCAGTGGCGGCCCTAAGGCGGTGCGAGCGGTACAACCGCACCGGTCGTCCTCATCGGGGGGGGGGGGGGGGCGAAATCAACCGAAGTGCTACCACCGGGCACCGGTCACCAATTCACTCACTCTTATCGCTAACAGTCCGTTTTTTGACGCTGATTAGGAAGTCTAAGCACGTTTATTTTGTTGCTTACAAGCCAGTAAGTGACTTACTGGCTTCTTTCTTGATGTACAAGTGTTTGACTTAGACATGAATGATTTCGAGGTCAAGGGTACAATAATGGTGCGAACATGGCAGGAAAAGTAAAGGTGTTCAAAACAGAATTTGACTCAATATTCTCGGGCATTTTTCAATTCATGTGGTTGAAGTTATTAAAACTTAATTTGCTCATATTCGCGTAATAAAATAAAATGATTTGTCCTACCCAGTCTGAATAGTACCTCCCGAAACCCTTAATTGCATGCACTATCCCCGTAGCCACCACTCCTAGTACCACCACACCCAACACCACCACACTAGGAACTTGTACAATTGCATCAAGATGCCAGTAAGTCACTTACTGGCTTGTAAGCAACAAAATACTCGTGCTTTGAATTCCTTAGGGCCTCCACTGACTATACCTGTACTAAACGGAATTGAAAAAGAAGTTTTAGTTATATTAAAACATTTAAAAATGTACCTCCACGTTTCTACAGTTTAAAATAAAAGTTGTCAAACAAGATTATTAACTCTTATTATGACAAATAATCTGTAACTAGTCACCGTAGCAAGGCAAGCATAGTGACGTTGTCGATCGCAACATAGTGCGAGCGAAATGAACAACATTTCTTTAATAAGCAGAACAACTGCTATGGCAAGAGCGACAGACACAACTGTGCTTGCCCCGCATATACACCTGTAGATATTTGATAGATCAAATACTATTTTATGTCACGGAAAAGCAACTACATAGTATAGGAACACTATGGTTTTGTATTAGGAGAGGCGCCACTATGAGATCTCGCACCACCTAAAAATTTTATTAGGCCACCACTGCACAGATGACACTAAGATATTTATAGTTTAAATGTAAGCGAGTAGATCTTAGATACAAGACGAGGTGTAGAAGATGTCACTTTTTACCCCTAGACAGAAGATGGAAAATATCACACATTATATCTGTTAAAAATTGTTAGTGGCCTTTTATACACTGCTCTTCCTTAGCAGATCATATTAACATCTGGTTTCCACGCAAATTACCTATCAGACGTACCAAGTTTCTAGCAATACCCAGAGCTAACACTATATCGGCGCAACCCCTTTTTTATTCGTGCAAGTAACTTTTTCAGCAATCTCATTAGGTAACAGCAACTTGGATTTATTTCGGACTAAACCTTCAAATATTAACAAGCTATTTCCTGCAGAGTTTTTCAGCCCTCACCCTATGCGTGCCAAAAAATTTTTAAGTCTTTTACCCTTTTTGTATTTTTCAAATGATTTTTGTTTTGATAAAGCTCTTGTGGTCTATATACAATTTATTTTTCATACGCGAATAGCTTTTAGTCATCATCATCATCATTGCAGCCCTTCACAAGTCCACTGCTGAATATAGGCCTCCTACAAGGTAGGCCACAAAGCACGGTCCTGAGCCACCTGCATCAATCAACTTCTTGCATGTCTTACTAGGTCGTCACTCTATCTAGTGACATTACACATGACTATAGACATTAAACATGATCTTTGTTTTGTCCATGTTCATTTTAAGACTTATCCGTTGAGAGACACTATTGAGTTCATTGAGTATAATGCTTAGGTCCTCCAGCGATTTTGCCATAAGGACTATATCGTCGGCAAATCGAAGATGAGTGATGTACTCGCCATTGATGTTAATACCGTATCCTTTCCAGTCTAGTAGCTTGAAAACGTCTTCCAATGCAGCGGTGAAGAATATCGGGGATATAACATCACCCTGTCTTACACCTCTCTGCAATTGGATAAGTTTAGTACTCTGGTTCTGTACTCGGATAGCCATCGTAACCCCTACTTTACAAACACTTCAGCACTTCGATATACCGATAGTCAACTTTTTTTCTTGTCACCGCTGAAGATACTGTCCCGCCAGGCAGTGGTAGATTGTACTCTTCGGACTTCTGTACAATTTGCCGAAGGGTATGTATGTGGTCTATGGTACGAAACCCTTTTCGGAAACCGGATTGTTCGGGAGGCTGGAAGTCGTCGAGTCTGCGTGCGAGACTATTCGTAATGACTCTCGAAAACAGCACGTAGACGCGACTCAGAAGGGATATCGATCTGTAGTTCTTCAATAGGGCGTTGTCACCTTTCTTGAAGAACAAGACCACCGCACTTCTGCTCCACGCCTCGGGTGTAGTGTCTCCACGGAGGAAGGAATGAAAGAGCTTCTGAAGGATTTCAAGTACCGGTGTTCCACTCGCTTTCAGAAGTTCTGCTGTAATTCCGTCCTCGCCCGGGGACTTGCCGTTTTTAAGGTGCTAGAGAGTACTCAGACTAATACACTCTAATTTTGCTCAGATTGACGTCCGGGATATCATCGGAATAGTGTCGGATAAGACTTGCTCTTGGATCTTTACTTACACTTGCGTGTGGCTCCAACGATGATGTGTACAGCTGCCCATAGAACCTCTCAACCTCACTCAAAATCTCACTCAAAATGCCATACTCAGTCTTTGGAGCCCTGGTTCCGCACAATCGTTTCTTCAATAAGAGCTGTATTGAAGTTGTGTAAGTCCCGCCGCATGCATTTGGAGATTTATCTCTTCAGTTGCCTGTATGCTGTCAAATCTGCTGACGACTGCAGCTTCATCTCCCGTCTAAGATTAAGAGTGTGATCGGAGAGTTTTTGTGTTCTTCTGCGGCGGGTCTTGCAGAACTTAGCTCCGACCGCATGGACAGTTTCTACGAGCTTGTCATTCATATCGTCCACTGCATTGAAATCTTATAGGCACTGAAAATAGTTTTGTATCTTCGGATCTTTGGATTAGAGCACGAGGGGGACTGAGCGTTGACTTTATTAGACGAGACCTCTCCAACTTAACGTTTAGGTTCATTGTGCCTCTAACCATTTAGTGATCACTGCCTGTTTTCATTGCGATCACTGAGACATCACTGTACAGTTGCCGTCTAGTCGTCATAATGAAGTCAATCTCATTTTTTGTCGAAATGTCGGGGCTCGACCAGGTCCACTTTCTAGAGGGCCGTTTCTGGAAGAAAGAGTTAATCATAGAGTTCCTCTTTCTCCTTGAAGTCAGCCAGCTGCAGGCCCCTATAGTTCCGTTGCCCTAGCGCAAATTTCCCTACCTTCAGCTCACCGTTCTTTCTCGAGCCTAGCTTTGCGTTAAAGTCTCCCATTAACACCGTATAGTGGGTTTGGGAGGAATGCATGGCTCTAGAAATATCCTCATACATTTCCTCCACCTCCTCATCGGGATGTGCCGACGTTGGTGCGTTAACCTGTGTGATCTTCAGCGAATACCGTTTGGTGATTCTAAGGTACGCAACCCTCGTCAACACACTCTCATCTTTACAACGTTGTTAACGAGAGACTTGTGGACGATAAATCCAACACCTCCTTGGGACAGATGTTCGCCCTCCCGGTGATAGAACATGTTGCTGGATTCGAGAATCACCGTGTGCTCCCCCTCTATTCGGACCTCGGATAATCCTATAATATTCCAGCGCAACTTGTATATCTCTTCTTCCAGCTCCAGGATCTTCTCGTAAGTCCTCAGGGTGCGTGCGTTGTATGTTGCCAGGTCGAGTCGTTTTAGGTGGCAACCGAACCTTCACCGGAGATTCTTAGCACCCTCTGCCCCACCGTTATCATGGTCGCCACCGTAGCCAGGAATAGCGGGACCGCCGGGGACTGGGGGCTGTCTATTTGCGTCGTTGCTCATAGGGGGTATATTGCCATAGTTGCCACGCTTTGCGAGCGGTTTGGCAACCGCAGTTTTTTGTTATACAGTTGCTGTTATCAGGAAGATGCTGCTGCCCATCTCCTGCCTGTTTCCCTCTGTCGCCTTTTACGACAACCACGGGAAGATATCGAGTAGTGGATATTCTTAACCGCCACTACACGGAAAATAGCTTTTAACCCTTCAGTCGCCATAAAAATCCCATGCAGTCGCATGCGACCGGCAAATCCCGAGCGGTCGCATGCGACCGCACCCACCCACAGCACTTAAAACCATTAAAACTTATATTTAGAGACTACTTTTCTATTAAGAAGTTTAGCATTACAAAATCTATACAAAATTCTCTATTCTGTGGTTTAAACAAAAGTCAGGTTTTACTTCATTACAAAAAGATTTTATTGTATTTTTAGATTTTATTTAATATTTACACAAAAACTTTTATTACAATTTTATAATTAACCACTATACTAAAACACTAGAAAATCCAAAAATCAACACAATAACATTCACGCGAAAATGGCGTATGAAATGAACGTAGATTATAAGTAAATATTCATAGGATAACACTTTTTTAATTCACTAAAGGATAGTGTATTTAATATTGATTATTATTATTTAGTTAATGCCACAACTTCTTAGAACTCATAGACATTAGTCTCTATATATAAGTTTTTATGGGTTAGTGCTGTGGGTGGGCGCGACCTCATGACCTTTCACGGAATATGGCCGCAGTCTCATGAGACCGCTAGTGGGTTGAGAGGTTAATAGCTATGTAGATTTAAAATTATGCAATAAGTGAAATGTATAAAAGCTGTTGGTGTTTCGAAAAAAATAATGTTGCCACGCGTGGCAGGCGTGTTATAATGTTGAGGTTTGGGGAATAAATAGTACATTTAGTAACTATATACATATATATATATATATATATAGCCGTGAGCCGCCGTGATATAGAAGAGCCGTGGTAGCTCAGTGGTTAACGCTCGCTGTAAATATAACAGAACGCGAGTAACCCGGGTTCGATCCCCGCCGGCACCAATGAAATTGTTAATTGCAATTTTAAGTGCTGATTTACCACGTGCTCGGCGGTGAAGGAAAACATCGTGAGGAAACCTGCATGTCTGAGGAATAAGAAAAAAAATATTTCGAAGACATGTGAAGTTCGTCAACACGCATTTGGGCAGCGCGGCGGACACTTCCTTGCCCTAAACCCTCTCAGAAATGAGGGGAGGCCTGAGCCCAGCAGTGGGACGTATATAGGCTGTAACTTTTATATAATTTATATATATATATATATATATATATATATATACTTACTTATCTTCACGCACAATCCCTAACGGGGTAGCCAGAGAGAACAGATCGCCAAGTGTCACGATCCTTACATACCTCTTTCGCTTCTTTCAGGTTCATTAACTTCTTCATACATGCACGTCTATGTATCCGAGTACTCTTGACCTTCCCCTCTTCGAGCAATTTGCTCACATATCTTAGAAAGTTAGTCTCGGTCTACCTCGACACCTTTTAATATTTACTTTCGCTCTATATATTTTCTTCACCATTCGGTCTTCACTCATTCGTTCAACGTGCCCAAACCATTGGAGTACGCCCCTATCAATTTTTGTGATAAGGTCATCTTTCAATCCTGCCATATTGCGAATCTCTTCGTTTCGCTTTCGATCGGCTATGGTAACGCCACACATTTTACGAAGAGATCGCATCTCCACTGCATTCAACTTGCTTTTGTGCTTCTTCTGGCATACCCAGGTTTCGCTGCCATATAACAAAGTCGGTACCAACACTGCGTTATGTAGTGCAAGGCGTGCACTCTTCACCACGCCTTGCCTTTTGACTAATGCATTCAGGGCACCATTGACTTTGTTTCCGGCAGCGACACGCCTATCCAAATCTAAATCACATCTTCCATCCCGGCTGAAAGCACTCCCCAAGTATACAATTTCATTTACCTGTTCTAGACATTCCTGATTTACCCATATTTCACATTTCGTTCTCTCTTCGTCCTTTTCAAATACCAGAACCTTAGTTTTATTAGCATTCAAACGGAGACCTTTAATTTCACATTCCTCTTTCATACACGTGACTAATGCCTGCAGTTCTGCTTCTGATGGTGCAATAAGCACTGCACCATCAGCATACAGCAGACAATTTACTTTAATGTCACCCAATTTCGCACCCAAACAGCTATTTTTCAGCTTCTGTAAACAGCTGTCGAGATACAGTATGAACAGCCAGGAAGACATGACACAACCCTGTTTTACGCCCGCTTGGACGCTAAACATGGGTGACAGGTCATGCCCTACCCGCACACAGGCTTTACAGTCATAGTAAAGTGACTGCACAGCCCTTAACAATCGACCATCCACACCATATCCCGGCAACAGTTCCCACATTTTCTTCCTTATAACCTTATCAAATGCTTTCTCCAGATCCACAAAAGCACAGAAAATTCTCTGGTTAACACTCAGAAGCTTTTCCGTGATCATGCGGAGAGAAAACATTTGATCCGTGCATCTCTTCCAGGTCTAAATCCGCATTGTGCCTCCCATAAGAATCTTTCCGATTTCTCTTGCATCCTACGTGCCAAAACCTTCGAGTAAACTTTACTTGCTAAACTGGTCAAGCTGATCGCCCGATAGCACCCGCAGTCAAAATGTGAACCTTTACCTTTATATAAAGGCACAATGACCGCGGATCGCCAATCGTCCGGGACATCTCCCGTCCGCCAGCACAAATTGCACAGCAGACGAAAGCTGTCCCAGACGCGAGGCCCACCGTACTATATATATATATATATATATATATATATATATATATATATATATATATATATATATATATATATATATATATATAGTTATTTTCAATTGTTATAAGAAATATACTACTTACTCTACCCTCTCGCCTCTGCTAAACATAAGTTAGATAATTGCTAAATATGGTATGGTGGGTGTGGTTATGACGGTCATGTGAGGGATTGAAACACAAATTCTCTTGTTTCTAACACTATATTCTTGTCGGCATTAATCTTTATTATCTTAATCTTTTAAGCGTAACATTGGTCTCGTATATGGCAAATTCATGTCTTGTTTACTTAATAGCTTTCAATCGATCGGAAGTCATCGCCGTGGTCGTTTATCCTTCTAGGTTCAGGTTTTGCTAAGCAATAAGTGAAGATGGCAGTACCGTAACTTTCGCACCATTATCGTACCGTCACCATTCTATTTCGATTGGCAACGAGACAGGTAATCTTCTGCAAATTCATATGTCGTTGATAAATCAATTTCGCTTCACAGACAGTGATCCACGTGCTAGCGTTGACCGGTTCGCTGGGTTCGTTCTTCGTGCTGACACTCATATACCAGTCGGTGTGCGTGTCGTGTTTCAACTTGCCGTCGACGTATTGCGTGAGGCAGCACGCGCTCGGGCAGCCGACATACTGGCTGGTGGTGGTGCTGAGCACGGTGGCGGCGCTGGCGCCGCGGCTGGTGTGGCGCGCGGCGCGCGGCTCCGTGCGGCCCGGCGCGCTTGGCCGCGCCGTGCTCGCGCGCCGCCGCCGCCCGCGCGCGCGGCTTCCCTACGCCGCGCACTACCACACCACCACCGCCTCCGCGCACGTCTACAGGTACCTACACACGCACATACATACATACACACACACACACACACACACACACACACACACACACACACACACACACACACACACACACACACTCAGACGCACACCGCGCACGCACACACGCACACGCACGCGCACACGCACACACACACACACACACACACACCGGCGCAAATTGATGAGTTTGATTTAATTTAAAGTTTATTTTCTTCCGTCTAAATGCTCTACATTTAAATAAAAGCTTGTTTTTAAAAGGTTTTTTTACTATTAATTACTAATTTTTTTATAGTAATAGTTTAATTTCATTACAAATGATTAGCCATAAATACAGAACACTATTGCTTCCATAAAAGCTATTAAGCCTTAATTCTATGAAAAAATTCGAAGTGGTTTATATTTTATTTTACAGGTCAACGGACGAGGATGGTCTCCAAAAAACACATTCAGACGTTGCCGCCATTACGTGACATCAACAAGAAAATGGCGCGGCCGCATTATTTGCGCTAGGCCGTGCTTCAGAGGTAAAAGGCATATGACCTCGACACATATAAGTGGAATCTAGGCTGTGATCTGTCATTAGAACTATTTGTAATATAATTATAGAGTAATATATTGTGCTTTTATACGAATAAAGTGGGACCAATGCGTCAGTCGTATAAGGACGGAATCGAATCGGACAGCGTGGATGGGCGAGCCGAATCCATGGGACTAGCTTGTGATTGATATTTTTTATTTTTCTTCAAATAAATAATAAGCCGTTATAATAAACAGTATCATAAAAACTTATCACATTATAGTAACTTATCTAGTCTGTGTAGTGTACCTAATACGGCGCGCCCGGACGCGCACGGAGTGCTCTGATAGATCTGCCAATATTGTTCACGTTATTATTGTAAATTATTTAGCGTTAAAATTTAATTCAGTATTTTTATCTCAACGCTTTATTTATAAACTACCACGGCACGCCAGCACTGTTACGTTAATGATTATATAATTATACTTATGTTAACCGCTAGTTGTCGTTGTTATCTAACCATGTTAAAAAAATGTAAGAAATTGTTCCAATGAAAAAAAATCTTGCCTGATGTTAATAAAATTAGCCTGCATTTAATTAATTGTTGAAAGATGGATGTGAAAAATAATAACATAATAGGTCAAACATTCAGCTGTACCTTACAATAATGTAATATGTATATAGTGAACAGGATGTCGTTTAGCAAAAACGATTTTTCTTTGTGCAAGAAAACCCTAAAAAAATCGATTTCAATGATAGCTCAGAGCGGTATTCATTAAGGTGTTACCACACCAATCTATCGATCGTCGATTGATTGCATCGGTCGATGTTGGAATGGATAAGTCGACGTCGATCGATAGTTTCTACAACTATACACAAATATAATTGAAACTATTTCTCGAGGGTAGAATCATCTTTGCTAAAACATCAAAACTGCAAATACTACTTTTTGAAATTTGTAGGTACTTTTGAATAAGTATAATCTTTTTACTAAGACGTGTAAATTTAATTCATGATTGTTCCCAAATAGATGTGATTTTGAGTGATAATGTAACTATGAGTGGTGATAAAAATCGTGTATTTTTGTATGGTGGAACAACAGTCCCACGTTTGGCTTTCTACGTGTTTCTACAGCGAGCCTGCTGCCTTGCCGGGGATTAAACGATCCGGGTATCATTTTGGTCTCAAAGGCAAGAAATACACTTATCACAAAATAATGTTTAATATGAATCTGTTATTTAAACAAAGAAAAAAAATATAGATATAACAAAGAAGTCGCTGTAGAATATACTTAGTTAAAATCATTTATAAGATCATCGGACCACTTGCTTTGACTAAATTTACTACCCCTTTACTTCGAAATCAATTTAAGTAATTATTTCATTTTAGCCGGGAAAAGTCGGTTGGTGAAAGAGATCCTCCTCGCACTCCACTTATTTTTATATATGCGCTTTTTGAAAATTTACATTTAAATTAAATTTTAATTAAATTAAATTTAACATAGGTTGAAACAATGTAACGTAATTTTTGAAACATTTTATAAGCCAAAGTAAATAAATCACAAGTAAGAATGCAATTACTTTCTTCTTTAGAATTCAACGTACAATGTTTTAAAACAGACAATTTTGACGTTGTTACACCTATCTCTTTAAAAATATTTTTTTTTTTGAAAACTAAGTATTTCGCTAGAGTTCGCATAAGAGCAATAATGTTACATCGATTAAGACGAAAATCAAGACAGGACCACCAACGTAATCGTGCTACAAAATACTAAAGCCAACCCCATTATTCCATACCTATTATTGTAAAGATGCATTTCATAATTATTCACACGTAAAATAAGAATGGAAGAACCAGTCTCGTAGTGCTTAAGTATCAGTACGTATAACATAATTACGAATATATTATATATGTATACCAAAGACTACAACATAGTTTAAGACATGTGCCACGAAAGAGCGCATAATAATGACAGAATACGCATAATTTTATCTATATATAATATGTATTTTTAATATTATTTGCATGAGCTCTAGATATAAAAACCACAGTTAAGTACTACAGAGGCATGGAAATAAGTATATTTAATACGTACGATACTTGAGGCACATATTGTGGTTTTTGTTATTAACACAATAATAAAAAAATCTTAAAATTTTTTATTGGATTATCTTACTTATTTATTCAGTAATACATAACTTTCTCATTGAATGTTAATAAAGTAATATTTAAACTTATTATTGAAAACTTTTCCGAAGCCATGCCGTCGTTAATTAATCTTATAGGCCCCGCAGATAGAGCATAGATCTGAAAATGGCGGCGGGTGCACATGGTACGGTTGGCATAACAAGTTCTCAAACATTGATTTTTATTTTTTTATTGGTACTTTTTTGTTGTAAATTATTCTTTTTTAATATTATTAATTAATAATAGTAGAAATAATGTCAAAAATATTAATAAAATAAATAAGGAGCAAGGGTACATATGACACTGGATTTTAAAATTTGTCTTTATCAATTGTTACATATCGGAATCATATTACAAAAATACCACCTCACATACATACATAGTCACGTCCTTATCCCTTAAGCCAGTAAAGTAAAGGCGGAACTACATTAAACCGACGCACACGTCTGAGACGTCGCCGACGTGTGTGATAGGTGCGCACACTAGACCGACGCCGCCGACGCGTACGCGTGTTTTGTGCGATCATTTCACGCTGGTTTTTGAACAAGACAGGCGGTACCTGCCTAGTTAAATGATTATTAGTTCTCTATAAGACACAACAAAAGGATTTAGTTTAAAAATGTACGAATCAGACAGAGAATTGGAAGTAAATTTAATTTACTTTTATGGCTTTGAAACGACCAACAGGAGAGAAAAGGTTTTATAAACCGCTTGGTCCAGCAGTATCCTGGTCATCTGAACCCATAATTGGTTCAATTCCCTCCATCAGTTGATTATAATCCTCCATGGACTGGTCACTTTCACAGTCCTGGTCTTCATAGTCGTCACTTTCATCTTCGTTGTTGCTGTTCATACCGACACTGATAATGAAGTCCTCAATTTCACTCTCCCTACCTACATCGCGATTCCAGTATTCTTCTTCGACTCTTTTGATGTGGTTTACTTGTTTCTTCCAGTCGTCTCGCGCAATTGAAGCTATGGCCTCTTTTGTGAACTCATCAATTTTATTTTCGTGTTGCTCCACATTTTTATCTGCGACCCGTTGTTTTATTAAATTCCAAACATGTTCTATCGGGTTCAGGTCGCAGTTGTAAGGAGGGAGTCTGAGGACTTCATGGCCATGTTCACGCAGAAGTTCGTCCACTAAATACTTTTTCTCTGGGCGATGCATTTTTAGCTGCATGAGCAGCTCTGCTTTGGTCGTCTTCTTCAAATGAGACACCGTGCTCCTGCATCCATATCTTTATCTCCGCTTTGCGGATTGCAGTCGTTGGCGCTTTATCCAACTGCATATTGTGGTAGGATGCATTATCCGTGACGAGAATGGAGTTTTCAGGCAGATTTCGTATTAGTTTTTCTTTTAAATATTTCGTAAAGTTATTACCATCCATCTCGTCATGGTAGTCGCCTTTTTTTGATTTAGCTTTAAATAATAATCCTGCACCCTCCACAAACCCATCCTCTGAGCCGGCATGAACCATCACCCACCTTTGTCCAGGACTATGATTTTTGCGAACGCCTTTTTCGGTGGATGACTGCCAGCACTTGATGACAGTATAATGGGCATGGATCCACGACTCATCCATATATACTACTTTATTTTTTCCGCACCCATGGCATCATTTTGTCGGAGGCGGCGTAAATATTTAACTCGCCACGCTTTTATATTATCGCGCTCTATGAGCACCATTCGGTTCTGGCGGCATTTTTTAAATTTAAATCAGAGCTTTTCTTTTAAAATCTTTCTTAATGTCGTTTTGGAGCCTTTATAGTTTAATTCAGCTTTTGCTGATGCCAGAATCTTGTTCAGCGTAGGTACCTCCTTTCGAACATCGTATATTGAGGCCACAATATTTCTAATGGCACATATATCGAAGTTGTCCATGGGGACACGCGTATTATTTTTGCCTTTTCTGCCCTTACTCGGCGTACGGAGCTTGGTGTTTGTTCTGCAAATTTACCTGAAATAAGAGTAAAATATTACTAATACTGTCAGTTATCGTTATAGAGCGACACTGAACTTAGTAATACTCGCTGCCAAAAGGACTCGTTTCCAGGCCAAAAGCTTTTTATATAAAAACCACACTCGTTTCCAGGCCAGAAAATCTATATAAAAAGTCATTCTCGATAGAGTTAAGGCTAATCATCTTCAAATAAATTGATTTATCTATCTATCTTGGTCACGCCCATAAAGCAACCGCGTAAAATAATGTGTAGGTACCATTTCATTACCTTGTTTCTTTATTTTCGATATAGTAGCCCTCGATAAATTAGTCGCCATCGCTGCGCTTGCGGCGCTATACTTTAACGGATCATAACGCTCCAAGTTCTTCTCTTCGTCAAAGTATTTTATAACGTTGTAAACAATGTCACGTGCATCACTGTGAAGAATCTTTCCACGTTTTCGTGAATCCATTGTTCAATCAATCACAAAATGTCAACGTTCGTAGCAAAAACTTAACGAAAATAAATAACAATCAAACTCAACAAAAACAACAATGAATATCAACGAAAACAACAAAATAACGGAACGAATTTAACGATAACTCGGAGTGCGGTCAAGTAGCGTGGAAAGCGAATCTTGACTGACTATTTTTTTGTAGCGCGTATTTCACTGTGTGAGTATAGACAGCGATAGAGAGTGAGCGAGAACGCTGCGAGCGGATGCCATTTTCAGATCATTTCTCTATCTGCGCGACTTATACCAATAATACTACTTTTTAACGTGTCACGAAAAAAATAAAAAACAATTAAATGGTGTATATATTTTATTTTAAAGCTTTTACAAACATGATATTGTATATTTTATGTCATACAAAAAGTGCCTTGTCCAAAAATTATTATAGTGTATTTCTTGCCTAACACTGCCTTTCGTGACTAGATGATTCCTAAAATTTGACTATTTTTAATACTATTTCTACCTGTACATAGTGAAAAGTTATATATTTATACATGAGCGATGTAAAGTTGTACATGTAAAGTTGTAGGATATTTTTATATACATAAATCTTTGTGTAAATAATATGTATGTTCTAAGACTGTTGTATCTTTTAGAGCTTTTAATTTGTTCAGTTAAACTAAAAGGGTATTGTGATAGAAATATGTATTTTCCAGTCATTTACTTCCAATGATTGTATCAACGTGAAACATGTTGATTACAATCCGAATGTATTTCCTGCCATATCAACTGGTATATTATGTAGTTGTTAGTATTTATTATTCGAAAATTGGCACACAGTGACTGAGTATAAAATGACATAATATCTGTGAACTGGTCACTTTGGTTGTTTCTTACTTAATTCAGAAAATTATTTATATAGCAACACTAATAATTTATAAAAACATAAATTACTTTGACTATAAGAATTATTCGTGCCTATTACCGTTCTTCTTAACTATTAAGGGGTGTTATTGGCAGCACTCGAAATATATACTAGTCCATTGTCATCGAAAGTTAGTGTTTACAGAGCTTTTATTGTCATTGTTAAGTTAATGCATGTTTCCGAAGATCTTCCATTACATTGAGATTGTTTGTTATAAAAAGTGACTTTTTGTGCTATATGTCAGGGTTACCCAAGTATTTTTTTTTTGTTAATTATCTGTAAAGCATAAGCAAGTAAAAAGCAAAACCACCGAAATTTACCCAACTACATGGGAACTTTGTTAAACATCTGAAGGGTTAATTTATATTATATTAATACTATATTCATACTATAATATAGTAATATTAACATTCTTTACAATAAATGCTTACTATTAATTCTTTACAATTGGAATCAATAGGTATTATTATATGATCTTATGAAAAAGAAAGCGCATTTACATTGTAATATTACTCAAATGGGGAATTCAGATTAAAATTTTATGAATCCGAGAGCGCAACGCTTAATGACTAGAAAATACATTTATAACAGTATGTGTTGTTTTATAAAAATAACAAAATGTTTAATTTTCTCAATTGTTTTATTTATTATATTCCCCTTTATTATACTCCACACTAAGCTAAGGCAATGCAAGATGTTATGGTTTCACAAGCATTGCCTTCACCCGTTTCAAACAATCACAAAATATTATTTTTGCCACATAATTAAGTTGAAAACAACAGTTAAAGAAATAAACAAACTTTTAAAATCAACAGTAATAAATAATATTTTACATATATGTAAATATACATTTTCAAAGCTTCACATAATACAGTGAAATTAAAATTTCAAACCATACAAAACTTAAGGAACATTGTAGAAAAATGTCAAAAGATTTAAAAGTTTGAAATAAACTATCGCTTGTTTTTAAGTTAAAAGTTTAAACACCTTAAGCAAGCTATAGTTGAAATATAATGAGGTTAAATTTATTTGGATATTGTGATATGTAGTTCTTAGGGATCATTTTTAATTTTATGGATAAAATGTTGTGTTACATACATTTAGAGACAAGAAAATACAGACAAATAAAGGACCTTCTCCTGTTCCAGATTCGGTAGGAAAGTACAAAGGTCAGTAAAGACATACCGTCATCATAATTAAAGTTATAAATAAAATGGGTTTGCACTCTTATAGTGAGTAACCGTTTTTAAATAACGTATTTTCAAACATATATAGTAGGCCTTGATCTAATATTTGTAACTAAATCGTAATAGCCAGAGAGCTGTACGCCATATATTGACATGTTAGATACAGAGCTACAAATTTCTATATAAAGAAAAGAATCCCACGTGAACTTGCTATGTACTTATACTTCCCAGGTGAACTTGGTTTTAGGCAGAGCGGAAGTATTTCGTTAACATATAATGATCTCTTTAAGAAAAATATTATGATTATGACCCTATGTGTACATTTACGTATGAATTCTTTGACTCTAGGGTCGCTGCAGATGTGTTTCTTACACGAGTAACACGAATATACCCTCTTCATGTATTCTGACACATTTGTCTCGACAACCTGAACAATACAATGACCTGAGAACTATTAGCAACTGTCTTATCTGACTGGCTGACAATATTTATTTTCTCAGTATATTTATCATCACATTGTTTGTTTACCTGGTAAGTAATATTAACTAAAAGAATCGTTGGGATTTCTTTTCTATGTATAAAATGTTTAAATGAAAATATTCAAATGTCAGGTTTCCAAAATCATTAACTATTATTTTACAATGTTATTAATTTGGGGGTTATGTAGTAATTGCGCCAAACCTCCCCAGATTCATGATTTCTCATGGTTTCTTATTTAATGAATATTAAATCAATAATGTACAAAATGAAGCTTTATGTCTTAAACGTAGTCAAAGTGGCGGCCAACTCTTAGACTAATATGTCATGAAGAATATAAAATAACAACAATACAAAAATTAGATAAAGTAACTATTCATTAAGATATTATTGTATTCCACATGCGGTAAATTTAGCGATGATAATAATTAACACCTCGGCCCACTACATCCATCCATGTAACCATCACGATGTGTTCCATAAGGTCATCATTAATTTTCCGTACACGAGTAACAGCATTTATTTGCTATATTTGAGAATGTTAAATATACCGTAAAACAGAAGCAGTGTTCTATTTTTGAGGTATATTTTTATTAATATAATAATAAATTAAATCACAGCACAAGTTTCAATATAGCATTGGGTACATCCATAGTGGAATCATTGACTAACACTATATCGAATTTTTTGAGGTAGTTTTGGAGGTTAGCCTCCGCATTGCGACCTAGGAAACCAATTTTTATGACCACATCACAGTGATCCATGCCTTCCGCCATTCCAGCGTCCCCAATATTGTCCCCCATTAGGATCACATTTTGGCGCTCCTTGACCATTTCATAATACTCGGTGTCCTTGATAGCTGCTTCATTTTTGTTGTAGGTGTGTATAACATCCCCTTTTATGCCGACTATAGTGTCACTTTCGTCCATTGCAAGGAAATTCGACACGACCTGTAATGAATTTATTATTCAACTAAATAAGCTATAAAACAGCAACAACTTCTAAATATTTTCTAAAATTATCAAATGCCATAAATAATTCTATGTTCAACATAATATGCAATATCAGATATGTAGTACAAAACGGTATGGATGTGTTGTACAAAAGTTGGCTCCGACTAAACCACAAATTTATATAAAACCAGTTTTTACGGATTTTATCTACTGCTAAAGATACTATCAGGATACTATAAGGTCATACTGTGTAGATCGGAACAAAAATTAATTATTTTAATCTGTGGGTAACCGCGGGGTTCTATGACATCGGGACGTCGAACATCTCAGTCCCCGCGATCGTGGGTTCTGTAAAGTGGGTATATAAAAAGTTAAATATACGCGATAAAATCCGTTAAAACTGGTTTTATATAAATGTTGTTTGTGTTCGCGTAAATATAAGAAATCATTTCACAAATTTTAAGGTTCAAGTGCGGAGAAGAGTGAGAAGGGACGGCAAAGGCTATGAGATAAATATTAATTATATTTTAATCTATAAGTAATTTACCTAAAATAAATAATTAATTGCGCAGACAGCAAATAATCGCAACGTTTAGAGTGTCGCTGCAAAGTTCAAGCTATTGTTAAAAAAAATTCAGCAATCGCTGCTTTTTAAAACTTGTGGTTCCACACATCATCACAGGGTGCAAACAAAATGATATCCAAATAAACGGCTGATCACTGAGCTCAGCTAAAAGATTAAAGTTGGCCAGCCACGACCAGTTAAGTGCGTCAATGTCAGTTTGCACTGGCGTAATACCAGGGGGGGGGTACACTTCCATACTTTAGGTTAGGGTCCAATAATTTGCAAAGACACTAGTGCTTACATATACGATATCCGCATAAACTTTCGAATGTTAAATTCTAAAAGGTGTGCTAGATGGCGACAACAGCAATTCTGGTTATTCTCGAACTGGCAAGTAGCAACTTTATATGACATAATGGCTACCGGCGTCTGAGCAAGTTGTTGTTTTCACGAACGCTTTTGCCATTTATGTGATTTTCGGTTGTTGCTACAATAAGTTTGGTTGAGTTGGATTAGCCCTCTGTTTCTTGTTGGCTTGGTTCAGATTTTCATGCTGAAACCACATTGTATGTTTGTGTAGTGTTGTGCGAAATAGACGCTTTCATTTAGCATTCCGGTAACCCAGTGCACATATTTAATTCGGTTTGATGTTGTATTTTGCGAAATAGACGCTTTTACATCGTGTTCGTTAAATATATATAACAAAAATAAATGTTTATATTACTGCAATCTATAATACGTCTTTAATTGAATCCTAATCCCTTAAAATATAAATATAACCGCCTATAGTATAGATAGCTGTATATACATAACTACATACAGCTATCTATAGTCAAAACTACACACTATTCATATTGGGTGACAAAAAATCCTAAGAGATGGCTCTCTATTTCTGTATATTAAGCATGGGCATTTTCAGTTTGTATCTGCAACGGTTACATAACCGATATCTAGTTTTCATATCGTTATTGAAAACCGTTTTCAGATATTGATATCAATAGTAATGGTTTGCTACTGAATGTGCAAACGACAACCGAAACATAACCGCAAACTGTACTACCAGTGCAACATTTATTTTATGAATTACATAGATTATTCTAGTTTAGAAGTCAGAGGTTCTAATGTTATTGTTATCTTAGATGTAATATTTAAACATGTATGTTAATATATAATTTTTGTAAATTCAATGTTATGCAGTGATAAATTATACCGTCACTGTTACAGCTTATTAAAGTCCACTGCTGAACATGTAGGCCTCCTCATAGATTGCATCATAGGTGGGATATTTGCCACAGTTGCCACGCTTGGCAAGCGGGTTGGCAACCACAGTGTTTTGAAGTGAAACTTTTTATGGGAGGGCTTTGATTGAAATGCTGATTCGTAACCGTTTTGTATGACGAAAAGTGGTGGGTGTAAACACTACGTACGTACCGGGCATTCGGTATATCATTCAAATCGCAAACGCAGGGCATTACATACCATAAAGTATATAGTAGTACAATTACAAGATTACAACGGTCTTTTGTTCAAATACTAATATTATTTTAATTTTATTTAAGACAGTTACCAAGGTACACGTATTTATTTTAGTAAGATTGAGCTGAGTGCACTTCAATCTAGCGCCATCTACTATATTGTATAGGTAAAGTCAATTTATCGAACAAACATTGATTGACTCTCAAGGTGTTATGTAGAGTGGATGCTAGATGGCATAAAACTAAAAAAAATCTCTTCTTATTCTTTAAAAACGTAACCTCGACACTAGGGTTTTCTCCTGTATCGTGGAGGCAGTTTACAAACATAAATTGTACAAGGACAAACATCCAGACCCGGAACAATTATTTGTAAGCCTTACAAATACCTGTATCGTGCGGGATTCGAACCCGCGGTAGTTACCGTTGTAATTCAAACCTGCTGTGCCACGGAGACGTCAAATTTTATTATTTACTTTATTTAAAATAACAATTTGTAAATTTTTATTTAAATATTTTTTGTTGACATAACATAAAACTGTGGTTTAATAAAAATAAAATTATATAAATAATAGACAACAAACTAAACCTAGTTAACCGAAGATCGAAGAAGAGGATGCACTGTGACACATATGAATAAATAATTTTATGTAAATAAATTAATGATATACATAATCTACGTTATTCAAAAGTCATTGATGAATAGTTTAAATGTTTTCATGTAATACAAAAGTTTCACTTCTGTCGTGTGTCTTCACGACACACTGTTAATAGTCTTTATTACGAAAACGTTGCCCATCTCCTGATATGTTTCCTTATGTTGCCTTTTACGACACCCACGGGATGTTAATGGGGTAGTGGATAAAATTACGTTCATTGTATCCTTATTTATTTCTACAATTTTGTTACCTATTTTTTTTTCCAAATTGAGACGTAGGATTAGAGTATGATTTCAAAGACTATACTTAAATTGTATTCTTAAGAAGTAAACACAATTTATATATATTATAGAAAATTATTTTAGTAAGTTTATTTATTAACAATTATTTACGTTGGCGATTTTCCTTCATGCTTAACTAGGCTTAGGCTTACCGCGCACTGCGATTAAACGCACGCGTTTAACCGCACGTCTGAAACCGCAAAAAAAAAAATGTAACGCATAGCTTTCTACACAAGCGCACGCATTGGCGACTTTTTTCAGTGACTGATTTTAAAAACGTAACTTGCTACATTTCGATCGCGGTTTGTAAGCGCGCGATTTTTATGAGTCCCATAGTAACAGTATGGCGGCGTAACAGTACTGCGGTTAACCGCATTCGGTTTCGACCAGACGAGCGCTGAGGACAGTCGTTTTTTGCGGTACTAATTAGTAGCAAAAGTATTCTTTCAGGTGTCTTTTATCTGTTAGTGGATGTACCCAGTACTTACGGCTGCGCCGTTGTTTACGTTTTCTATTTTTTAATTTAAAAACCAATGCCACAACACACGCTACTCGCCCGAAATGCATGGTGGTACTGAAATAAAATTAAGCAAAACTCCAGCCGCAGTGCGCGATTGTATGCGGTTTTGCGTTTTCAGCTATTCCTAAACCGCTCGCGTTTAATCGCAGTGCGTGCTAAGCCTTAGGACTAGCAGAAAAGTTTTAAATTCGAATTCCCAATTCAATTTCAAAATTCAACTCTATTAACCGCAGTTTTACCTAATTTGCACTAGCCGTAGCCGCTGATTCGGCTCCGGTGGAAGAAGTGGTCGTTTCCGATGCATTCCCTATGGCAGATGTATTCGGAAGTACGAAATTTTGTTTATTAACAGTTCCTGGGATAGTGGTTCTTTGCGTCAAATTAATTGAAGCGTGTGTTCTTTTCAAATGAGAACTTAAGTGACCTGCAGTCGATTTATACGATAATGGTAATTGACAATGTTTACAGAGAGCAAGGTACACGGAATTGTTTTTTTATCGAAGTAACACCATATTTCACCAGCCTTACGCGACATTTGGAAAGTCTATACTCAAAAATGATTTAATGTCTAAATCAACTTAAACTAAACTATGCTATATTATATTTACACTCTATAATTATCTGAATTCCAACTACCTACCTAATGCACAAAATGCACACAAATATTGCAAATAAATGCACGAACTCAATGATGTGTACTGCTTAGCACTGCACAACAGGCACACAAACGAAGAAATTTTCGAACCGTATTATCATGTAAATATATTACAGCCGAAGAGATTTTGAAAGAAACTCCAATTATAGTAAGAGCTTATACAAATGGTTTGGAATACAGCACAGACGGTGAATTAGTGCAGTTTGCCAATTTGCTCGAAACGGTTGTGGGTGGTGCGATTTGTTAATCGCACTAGCCACATCCGTTGCATTTTCAGAAATTCAATATACATTCATAATGGATAATTCATTAGAATTATGTTTCCCCAATTTTGAAACTGCTTAGCGCATTTATTGTCTCTCATGATCAATAACGGCAGTGTTGAATGTTCAATTTTTACATTGAACCGTATAAAAATTAATTTGGGGAACACTATGAATCAAGAACGCCTGAATTATTTCCGTGATTGTTATTACTTAGAGAAATTGATATGGATAGTATTATTTCTAAATTTGCCCACATTAAATCTAGAAGTTACTTTGTAGACGTTTATAAAGTAATAAAAGAAACAGATAAAACTAATATAAAACATATCCACAATTTAAGCACTTCATTAATAAAATATAACATAAGCTATTCTAGAAAATACAATATTATACTTTGATATAAATATAAACTTTGAAATATGTACTAAAAACAATTTTTTGTTAGTATCGTCAGTTTTAAATTGTTAATTTCTTATCAAAATCATTCTAAATTACCAGGACAATCTCACATCTGACATTTTGTACCTACTTCCCAGAGTCTAACTATAGTAAATTACTGTGATATTAAACACCAACAAAATTGTAACAGTCGTCGAGTATTGATTTGTTTTTTTTACCACTTTATACTTAAAAAACCTATAGCAGATCAAGGGCCCCACGATATAATTTGCTACGGGCCCCGCGCTTGCTTAATCCGAAACTGTTTGTTGCCGTTGCAAATTTTAAATTCGATTTTAAGCACATGCGCCGCGATGAGGGTAAACATAATATTGAAAAAACCCGCATGTCTGGATAGTATTTTTTTGCTATACCAATGTTGAACACTCGGTGCCCGCGGTGCAATAAAAAGGAGAAACAGGACGCCGCCTGTTGTACTCTGTCGCACTTGCGGGCCCTACGCCAGACAGTGATGCACCACTAACATGTCGATGTGTATATTATAAAAAGTAAAGAATGCAAAATAAAAACTTCAATAATTACATTTATAATTAGTCAAAAATACAAAATTAGACGTTTATTTTATTTCATGTTAATTCAATAGTAAGCAAATCCAAACGTCAAATGATTATACAGGCATATTAAAACAGGTATTTATACCCTCTAAACGTAATTAATAATTATGAAATTACGCTTGCAGAGTAATTAATAAATTCCTTCAAGGGATCAATAAGCAGTTATCGACAAGTGACGCACCCGCACGCGTCTTGCCCCCAGCGATTGATATCATTAGTATAAAATATGAGAATCCGCGAACTGGCATTGGCGGCGGACTGACTGTTACCTTTTCAGAAATAAAAGGGAATCTGTACCCTGCTGTGTCCTGGTCGTGAGGACTGCATTTTTTCTAACTTTATTTTTAAATGTCTTACAAATTTTACTCCATCTTTCTTTTGGTGAAAAGGAAAGTGAAGAAACGACGAAAGGCAATTTATGTCATAACGCCTTATGCCAAGGTCAAAATATATTTTGTATTTATTAATATCTTTATATAAATATTTCCTCTATACGTCTGTGAGCAAACATAGTTCGATCGACTTCACCACCAACCACCAATACAGTAATAAGGATTTCGGCGGGAACTTCAGCTGCTCTTGTTTTTTTCGTTTATATTTATTGATTTTAAGTGGATGTTCATACGTTACGTGATGCGTTGTGAACTATTTGTGGAAACGACGAACGTCAAACTCAAGTTGTGTGTCTGATTAGGTGTCTTGAAAACTCTCATCGAATGTCTACCCAAAATCACGGCAGTGTAGCGCATCAACATATTTTGAAGAAAGTTTACATAATCATGTGTTGCATAGTTGTTTATTACGGTATGCGTTTGATGTATTTTTGGCTGAAGGTCTTGTAACCAATGCCACAATAAATGAAAAAAAAAAACAATTTTACTGTTTTCTCACTTTACACTTCAGCACTTAAGTGCTGCGGTGTGAGAAAACTGAAAAACATCGGATGAAACTCAGGATGATTTATTTTATTGCCGAGCACCTGCATTTCTAATAATGTATTTAAAAAAACATTAAAAGGATATGTGAAGTCTACCAATATGCATTGAGTTAAGGCGGTATCTTCTTTTTAACTAACTAAATAAATTAAAAGTTAACTTTAAAACATATTTGATTAACTTACCTTAACATGCGTTAACTTATCGCGTTAACTATCTGAGTTGTAATAGCTCAGATAGTTAACGATCGCTATAAATATAACAGAACGCGAGTAACCTGGGTTCGATCCCCGCCGGCACCAATGAAATTCTTAATTGCAATTTTAAGTGCTGATTTACCATGTGCTCGACGGTGAAGGAAAACATCGTGAGGAAACCTGCATGTCTGAGGAATATGAATAAAAGATATTTCGAAGACATGTGAAGTTCGCCAACACGCATTGGGGCAGCGCGGCGGACACTTCCTTGCCCTAAAACCCTCTCAGAAATGAGGGGAGGCCTGTGCCCAGCAGTGGAACGTATATAGGCTGTAACTTTACTTTATTTTAACTTTTACCTTAACATGGGGAAGCAGGAAATTGGCAGCTCTCATAGCAGCAACGACAGATTCTCCGAGGCCCGCAGAGAAAACCAACACGGGCACTTGCTGCGCTTGACTCCATGATATTAAATCATTTACTCCTGTCCTGAACAAAAAGGAAATATTTTTACCACTGCACTGCCTGGGCACGGGCTTTCTGAAGTCAGTAGGCTTTCTCCGTTCTTGACAAACTAAAAGGCAATTTCTACACAATCTCGCATCCTATGGAAGTTTTTAATGTTTATTAACAGACAATTAAACAATAAATAATTACGTATGTATATAAATTGTCTAAAAACGGTGTGAGATTTTTTATTTAATCTTTACCATGTGGTATGCGTGTAAGTGTAACATCTACAGCATATTATTTTGACTGTGACTATGTATATCTGTATATTACATAACTGTAATTCTATTAACCAAACCAATCAGATCTTTTTCGCCGCCATTACACACGGCATACCTGATAACTAATAATTTTAAACAAATAAACAATTTCAAGAATAAAGCGAGAACAGAAATATCCATTAGCTACTAGTATAGATCCTTGCTCGCGGTGCATCCTGCTTTTTATTGAACGAGGTTCTGAAAGTCAATATTTGACCAAAATCAAATATTCAAAATCGCTGAACCTAAACTAAACAAACAGGCTATGAGCAGTAGCATTACAAGTCAGAGGATACAAGGCCCTGCGTTTCATAAATATGTCTAGTATGACTCATTCATGGAAAGTTAAAAAAATATATAGGTTTGTGTCACATATTTGTGTCTTTTTATTTATTATCAAATTTAAATAACAATAACAGTTTAAAAGTTTTCATGTAAATTGAGGCCTACAGGCGTTTTCAATAGTGCACCGTTTTTATGCATTGTTTTCGGATATGTGGAATGATGCAACATTCGTTCGATAATAATCATGGAATAATTCTCACCGTTACCAGCTAGACGCAACTTTATAATTTTAAGCATAATAACTTCTGTGTATGCATTGAAATTATTTTTAGTTCATATTGTTCCTTTCTCTCTTGTGAAAAAATTACTCCGGAAACGCAATTGTCAAAGTGTATCTAGCTGAAAAATCTTAAACATCTGCACAGGTACAACGAACCTCAACAAAACGCAGTGGTCTACATAACGTTTTTGTAACACTCCCACTTGTTCATCGAAAATACAACGTATTCTTTTATTATTGTATTTAGTATTTTTACTTCGTCCATCATTTATGCGCGTTATCTTATGTTGAGAAATACAGGTCCGTGTCGTGTCGAATATTGAGCAATATGCTTGCAACATGACGTATTACATTACAATCTGATGACTAATTAAATTATAAAGAATATTGTTGTAAATATTATAAAAAAATCAAGTTTCCAATATGCCAATACGTGTCTTGTTTGCGGAGAAACGTTGGATAATAATTCGATGGTAGCCAGTAAACTAATACGACATTTAACTACTAAACACTCATCAGTAGCCCAAAAAGACAAAACGTATTTTCAACGTTTGAAGGACCAATCGAAGAAGCGGGTAAATCTCATGAGTTCGTCTTTCAAAACCTCAGACAAAGCACAAAAAGCAAACTACATAATCACTTATATGTTAGTTAAAGCTAAAAAGCCGCACTCTCTTGCTGAAACTGTAGTTTTACCTGTCTGCAAAGAAATTGTCAAGATAATGATTAGCCAAGAAGCTGCTAAAGAAATTGAAAAAATACCTGCATCGGCAGAAACGATTTCACGTCGAATCAATGGCATATCTAATGACATTAAATCGACATTGATTGAAAAATTGAGAGTTAGTGGAGTTTTTGCGCTACAAGTTGATGAGTCCACTGACATCAGTGGTCACGCGCATCTTATCTCATATGTTAGATACATTGATGGATGTGAATTAAAACAGAACTTTTTATTTTATCTGCCACTGCCTAACCATACAACTGGTGAAGAAATATTTAAAGTAACGGACGAATTTTTCAATGAGCATAATTTGGAATGGCATAACTGTATAAGTGTTTGCTCAGACGGCGCAGCGGCTATGAGGTTAAAGGCTTTATAGCTAAAGTTGCTGAAAAAAATCCTAATGTTCAAAAACAGCATTGTTTTTTACATAGGGAAGCTCTTATGGCGAAGTCTCTGCCTGACGATCTATTGCGCGTTCTTCAAGAAATTATCAAAATCGTCAATTACATCAAGTCGCGACCGCTGAACTCTCTTCTTTTTAATGCACTGTGTCAAGAAATGGGGGCAGATCATCAGTCGCTTTTGTTTCATACAGAGGTACGATGGCTTTCTCGCGGCAAAGTACTTTCCCGAATTTATGAGTTGAAAAATGAGACTGAGATGTTTTTGCAGTCCCAGGGTTCAGATTATGCACATTTATTTAAAAAAGAAGAATGGCTAGCAAAACTTGCATATCTGACGGATATATTTGCTCACTTAAATGAGCTCAATAAAAAAAATGCAAGGCAGAAATTTCAATATTTTAACATCGTCGGATAAAATTGAAAGCTTTCGCGCTAAAATCTTGATCAGTCTCGCTACGAATGGTAATAATGAAATGTTCCCAAATGTCATGGCAGCTGATGATTGTCAAACACTTAAAGCTTCTTGCAGAGAAAATGAACTTCTATTTCCGTAAGCGTGGTCTAATGACTGGGCGCAACCTATGGACTGGGTTCGAAATCCATTCTCCGAGAACATTCCTTTCGGCCACTTACCAATAAATGAGCAGGAAGAACTGATGGAAATGAAAACGGATCGCACATTAAAATTAAAATTTTCTAAAACTGATTTAGAACATTTTTGGCTATGTGTGAAAAATGAATATCCTCTGCTTTTTAAGCATGCTATTGCAATACTTTTGCCGTTTGCAACGACCTATTTGAGTGAATTAAGATTTTCGACTCTTACTACAATAAAAACAAAAAAAAGGAACGCCTCAGGACGATCGACGAAGAAATGAGAGCAGCCTTGTCAGCTATTACTACAAATTTAGGCCGTCCATGCTTAATTAAACAGTCTCATGTTTCGCATTAAATACCTTTTCTGAAATTTAAAGTTTAGGTTTGTTGATTAATAATAAAAGTTGACCTCAAATTCTTGTACCTCAAATTTTTTTCGTTTTCCTAGGTGTACCTTGGACACAAAAAGTTTGCGGAACACTGCCGTAGGGTACATTATACTGGTGAACAGTGTGGTTAATGTAGTGCATCACTGCGATACCTATATGTACGCCGATGACATGTGCCTATTGTATGCTTCCAAAAACTTACATGAAGCTTGCGATAAAATACAGGAAGACTTTGATCGGATTACCCAATGGGCACATGATAACGGCATAATATTGAACTTGAAAAAAAACAAAGTGTATGCATTTACATTCTCCATACAACAGGCTAGCTAAGAATGTACGCTATGAAGAAATAGGTATTGTAGGGCATGACTACGAGTGCTTGCACAGGGGAAAATTATCATGTCAATGTGCCAAAATAGAATTTGTTAATAGTTACAAATATTTAGGATTGTAGGTAGATAGTAGTTGGAAATTACACATTGAAGAAGTATGTTCAAAATTAAGGTCCATTTTAGGCAAATTCTATCAAATTCGAAAAGTAGTAAGTAAAAATGTTCTATTAGTGGTTTACTATGCATTAATTGAATCTTTAATGAACTATGGTCTTATTGTGTACGGCCGTACATTTAGTACTTAATATAAAACAAGTGAAAAGCCTACAAATACGTATTATAAAATTTTTAATTAATTCAAAAGATAAGAAAAGCTGTAAAAAACAATATGAAAAATTATTTCTCATGTGTAAAATACTCCCTGTTGAAACACGGTTAAAATATTTAATAGCAATTGAACATTACTATACTGACGACTATAAAGTACCTAATACTAACACCTACAACACGCGTAAGATAAGGGAAAAAAAACTTGGAAGAGCCTAGTGCAAATAACTATTACGGACAGCGCTTGAATAAATACATTGTACCCAGAATATACAACAAAATGAAATGGTTAAGAGAAACGCCTCCAAATAAAAATAAAAATAAATTAAGCAAAAACTTATTAAAATCGTCTCTGAAAAGGGCATTATTAACAGAGCTATAACACGTACATTGTTGCATACTTTTGTTAATCGTTTTTTATGTTTGCTTTATTTGATTTGTTTATTGCTGTTGTTATTTTTTAGTTTAATAATTTCTTAATATTGTGAAATAAGGTAAGGTTATATTTTTTTGTTTTTTTTTTTTTTGTTTTTAATTAATTGTGTTTTTTTGTAGGTAATGGTACATAATGATATATAGTTTTAAGAGCGTGTACTCGCCGACAAACTGATTGCAGTTTGGCGAGAGAATAGCAAAAATAATGTACTTACCTTTGTATGAATAAATAAATAAAAAAAAACGTTAAGGTGCCGTTGTTCATCTGGTGCTGCGAATGGCGATCAACCAGTCATGCCTCGACATTACGGCAAACTCTCATGCCCTGGATGATTCACATTGTGTATGGACGAGTGATTAACAAGGAGGTGTACACTCACCTAAAACATTCTACCATTTTGTGTCCAACTTCGGTTAGTTCTTGTTTCGGAAATTTCATACCTCTGAAAACAATAAGAAAACAATTAAATACAAAAAATATAACAAAGCATACCTTGGCTAGAATTGAAGATAATACTTATAAGCTCATTCATCATAAACTTATACATATATTTTTATAAATAAAAATCCAACTTAACATGGAAAATGACCAAATTTAGAGATAAAGTGAAAAATTTGAATTATGTATGTTTCAATAAACTAATTTTGTGATGATTTTTCTTTTTTTTTTGTTTCTTAAATACCATGTGCCGATGGAGTGTGCCCGTAAGTACTTTATTAAATTTCTCAATTAGGTGCGAGAAAGTTTTTAGAACTGGTTACTTGTAAACGATATCACAAAAAAATAAGTTCAAATTTTGAAAGTGGATCTCTTTGTCAATATTATTGTGTATGTATTTTATTAATTTGTCATTTGTTTACGATTTGGCAGCAAATTGAAAATTGTCTCTCCATAAACATTTAGCGGTCAGGAAGCTTTGTTGAAGCCCGGTGGATATCTCATAATTTGACAGAGGCCCAAAAACTCCGTCGCATTGATTGGTGTCGTGAAATGGTTCAAAAATTTAACGGAGGTGACTCAAATGCTGTGTTCGACATACCTTCTTATGGGTGACGAAAGCTGGATTTATTATTATGATTCTGAAACTAAGAGACAGTCTGCTGTCTGGGTGTTTCCTTCCGAGAAGTTGCCAACTAAAGTGACGAGCGGTTGAAGCGTGGGAAAAAGGATGGTGAGCTCGTTCTTCGGAAGGACAGGTTATTACGCAACAATTGTTTTAGAGGGATCGAAAAGCAGTTACTGCAGAGTGGTACAATAACAATTGTTTGCCACTTGTCTTAGAAAAAAATCGAGAGAAACGACCTCGCAGTAGGATCCTTCTTCACCACGACAACGCCCCGTCGCACACCGGCAAGCAAACAATCGACTACTTAGCGACGTCAGACGTGGAATTACTGGGTCACCCGGCCTATAAGCCTCGACCTCGCACCTTGCAATTTTTATTTATTTCCGAAAATAAAAGAAAAACTTCTAGGATAATGTTTGGATGAAATGGGCCCAAAAGCAGATTTTTCACGCTTTATAGGTGCGCAGAAAATCAATTTTTGTCATTAAAAATTAAGAATTCACCTTTTTTTTAAACTAATAAAACAGGACCTTATGTAGTAGTCCCACACTGCTACAATTTTGTTTATAAATATTACCATTTATTCCTCAACCTTATCATTTTTCTAAGCCATGTCTTTCTTAAATAAATAACTACCCACAAATTAAAATGTGTTCCGGACATTAGTGTGAGTACTGTTCATGTAATGCTGGTTACTATAGACGCATTTACATTTTTGTTTTAATTCCTCTGCCTGGACACCACTGTAGGATGGAATTAGCTTAATCGCTACGATTGACACATGTCTCGCACCTTCGACATATCTGCTATCGACATAGCTCCCATACTGTTGCGTTGCTGACCTAAGTTCTCGCACCACAACCAAGGCCCAGGTAGTGTATTTTTTTAATATGCAACCTAATCATAAAAAATAATTTAAAGAAACAAATAAAATTTCGAAAATAATATTTAACTTTTTTTGTAGCATTGGGTAACAAACGAACACACAGGCCACCTGATGGTAAGTGGATGCTGGGGCCCATAGACATCCACATTTATTCTCAATTAAGAATCAAAATGCAAATGCGTTGTCACCCCTGAGGACTAAGATGGAATGCCTCGTTTCCAGTAAAAAGGGTCTCCGGTTCTCTACACTCACCATACGAAACACAGCAGCAAAGGCAACGCTGGTATTCTGTGAGAGCGTGGTCGAGCTATAAGTATAGCTGCAATGTGGCTCCAGCATGTAAAAATATATATTGTATTATAAAAAAATATTGAGTGCTGTATTAATAATCAGTGAAACTTTATATTTTGACGGAATTTACAAAATTAACCACCTTATGTTTGATATTTGTATAATCTTACTGTAATAGTTTATGAGCAGCCTGGTACCAGTCCACCATATGCTTCGTTTTTTCCTCAATACTCATCACTGGATCAACTTCAATTGGCTTGTATATAGCAGCAAGTCTATTTTCTTCATCTTTGTAGCACTGAGGAATTGAGGGGCATTCTCTAAACATTCCTATAGAACAAACAAGTTAATAAATAAATGTATATCAACAGTACAGTATTAAGTACAAAGTGCATGAATTTATCATATTTATCCGGCAAGTTGTAATAAATATAAGTTTGAACTTATTTATTAAAGCCACGAATACAGAACTTTCAGTGTACCATTTGTATACCTGTATAGATACTATCAAAATAGTTTTCAAAAACACTGTGCAATTAAAATAATGGATCTAATGCAACATAAAAAACATTTCTTGAAAAATTAAATGGGCAAAAGTTAAATAACTTGAGCATTAAGGAATAAAGTTTTTCAGTTGGTTCAAAAATATTCTCATTAAGATTATATTAGTTATAATAAGGCGATAGTTATTAGGCTTAGTGCAGGGGTTTAAAAGTGGGGGCTATAGCAAATTATACTAAATATATGCGCAACATAGATAAACACGACCAGTTAATGTCATACTATAACAGTGAACATGGTACAAAAAAGTTATTAAATATTCATATAATTCAAATATGCCTCATAAACGCCTATCAATTATTTAAAATTGATAATCAATCATCAATGTCATATTATGTGCACAGAATAAAATTGTTAGAATTATAACTTCTGGCCAAACTCACAATAAGATGACATTCATTTGCCTCAAATTTTGCCATCTGGGGCATTTTATTTGATACACACCCAAGTTTCATGTACTTAGGCGGTGGTCTCCTATAAACGCCATCGGCCGCTTACAGCGTCACGCCGTACGCCGCGTTACGATGCTTACTATAGAAATGTACTGTTGTGGTCTCTTTCACAAGCTGATGTCGGCGTATGGACGTCGTAGGCGGCGTTAAGACGCTTTGCGCTGCGTCTCTAGTTATTTCGAACCATTGCAGCGTGAAGGTCGTGTCTAGCGTCAGTACAAGATGACAAAATTTAATAAAGAAAAAGACGAGTACAGATTTATTATTATGTTTAAATTGTTCCTGATTAATACGAAAATATTCAGTAAATTTAGAATTGCTGTCTTTTAAGTGTTTCATTATTAATAGCTGGAAACATCCTTCTTCATTTGTCTTCATAAATAATCGGTGCCTTGTTGGCTTTATTTTCTTCGTATACGGTCGTCTTGTCGAAAGTATTGAATTTATATATCCATTTTACGTACAAATATCACACATAGCCACACGTGAGCACTGTCGGCTACATAACTGTTGTTTGATCGAAAGTCTAGACGTCGTCCGTTGCTAAGATATGTTGACCGCTGACGCTGTGGCTGGCGTTCAGACGCCGATCGGATCGTTTACGCTGAAGTCGTACGTCACGTATAGCTTTTAATAGGAGACCGTAGCCTAACACATCGTAACGCCATTATGCGACAGTCACTGATGGACTACTGAATACTGATTACAAATAATAATCATATTAAAGCAGCAAAATGTTTAACAATCAACTATGAAATCAAGATTGCTCATAGTATGAACCTATAACTGTTTTTTAACTCCATAAAATAAAATAGCTAAAATAAATATTTAATAGAAATGTTTTCAATGTTGATAGCCTTTGGAAGACGCCGTTCGGCGTTTACTGCACCTGAGGAGATTTTGTTATTTTTCTAAAATCATTATTTACATAGAAATTAGTGAAGTTATGGCGAAAATATAATTTAAGACGATCAGCGCCATTCGACTAAGAATAACAATTTAAATGACGCCGTTGTGCGTCCACCGCCACAAATGGGTTAACTCTCATAGAAAACATCAATACTCAAAACCTGGTTTAAGTAAAATAACGGGGGCAGAGGGGATGCAAAATAATTTTTTTAGCAGAGTACCATACTTGCATAACTTTGGGAAGTCCCACATGACATATTGGTTCGTAAGTTTTATTTATTTTATTTATTTATTTAGGTACACAAAACAGAATAACACCAAAACATGAACAATTGAAAATAATAAATAAAAAGTTACAATCTGGATGGTATTCCAAAACATGTGCACACAACATGATATTAAGTAACACTAACAATTTTACAGCACAAATAATTATAACCTTACTTATAAACATACTACTTATGAACCTATGTTGTGGAAAATTTTGAAAAATTTAATCTTTATTAAAATAATGTTCATTTACTTTTACATTTAAATTTTAAGCCTTGAGTGCATTATTTACAAAGTATATCTAATACGGATTTTTTGAAATTGTTTAATTTGTTATTAAAAATGTCTAAATTTTTACTATTATTAATTAATAAGTCATTATATATGCGACACATTCTTACAAGAGGATTGTAATAGGACGTATTATTTTTATAAACTTGCAAAGCGAAAGTATTTAGGAAAGTATACCGAAGATGGAGCTTAGTATTAATCTTGACAAATGAAAGGAGGGTGGGGGAATAAATAAGGGAATGAATAATTTTGAAAAGGCAAGTCATATCCTGATATTTACACCGAGTTTGTAGTGATATAATGTTAAACTTTTTCAGTTTCTCTTCATGGGAGGGCAGACTTCTATTTAAACCATACCTATAGCAGAGGATTGATAGAAATTTTTTTTGAATCAATACGATCTACGTGGATAGCGTAGTATGGAAACCAAATAATTATGTTGTACTCTAAAATACTGCGTACTAGGGAACAGTACAAAATAAGCAAGCTTCGTGGATTTTTAAAAGTCTTCAGTTCTAAATATAAAGCCAAGAAGTTTTGTACTTTTAGATATCACATGATGGTAATGATCGCGGAACGTAAGCTTTTCATCAAACAGTATTCCAAGAACCTTAGCTACAGATTTTCTATCAAGTGCCTGTCCATTTATTTTATACTCAAATGTAAGTCTGTGTTTCTTGTTGCTAAATGATAAGACAAAACATTTCTTCAAGTCTAAATTTGACTGAAGATTGAACGAGTCGCTGATTGTATCGATAACGAAAATAGCTTCAAATCATCTGCATACAACAGGCATGGACATGTTAATTTATCAATAAGATCGTTAACAAACGTTATAAAAAATAAAGGACCTAAATGGGACCCCTGTGGCACACCCGATGTCACAGAAACGGGTGAGGATTTGAAACATTTTATAGTAACTAACTTACTCCTCCTGTTGAGGTATGATTCAGTCCATCTCAACATACTCCCATGTATTGACGATGCCGTAACATGCTAATTTGATACATAAATTATTATGATTTACTCTATCGAATGCTTTTGAGAAATCGGTATATATGCTATCAACCTGTTTCCTCTTGGCGAAAGCACTGCAAAGATAGTGTTTGTATTCAAGTAAATTAGAAATCGTCGATCTGTTCTTAATAAAGCTATGTTGTCGAAACGATAGGAAAGGTTGAATATGGTAATAAAGAGAATCATACACAGATTTAAACAATTTACCAAGGCAAGACAAGATGCTTATGGGTCGATAATTTTCGCAATTTGATCTGTCGCCGGATTTATAAATCGGAACGATATGAGCTATTTTCCATACTGATGGAAAAATACCTGCTTTAATGGATGCATTAAATATAATACACAAGGGATTACTTAATTCCTTGCCGCATTTCTTAATAAATAAAGGAGGAATACCATCTGGTCCAGAGCCCTTTCTTTGGTCTAATTTCGCAATCTTTTGCTGTATTTTTTCTTGTGTGATTACGATATCACTTAGGGTACAATTACTACGATTAGATAATTCATTGCGACAATATAAGATAGTCTCCACTGGCTTTGCAAAGACAGAACTGAAATAGTTAGAGAAAAGCTCACATACCGGGTGGCCCATAAGTCCCTTGAAATGTAAAAAAATAATTTAAAAAAAAACTAATGACATTATGAAAAAGGTTTTTATTTTGTCATAATCCTTATAAAATGGGAATTATTTTTTGAAAATTACATCATCTAAATGTAATCCGTTACGATCGCGGCACTCCTGTAAGCGACGTTTAAAATTATCCATCACTGCGCGGCAAGTAAGCTCTGTAATGTTTGCCATTTCTCTTTGGATATTTTCTTTCAGGACGTCAATTGTCCGCTGGTTGGTTTCGTACACTTTAGTCTTAAGATAACCCCATAAGAAAAAGTCCATTGGGGTCAGATCTGGACTACGTGGTGGCCAAGGAATATCTCCTCTTCGAGAGATCACTTTATTAGGGAAAAGTTGACGGACGAACCGGCATAGCGACGTTAGAGGTATGGGCAGTTGCTCCATCTTGTTGAAACCAGGTCCGCGTATTGAAGCCTGGAAAATTCTGCAACTCTGGTGTAAAAAAGTCCTGGATCATAGCTACATACCGTTGTGAAGTAACAGTAAGCGCGCGGCCTCTGCCGTCCTCAAAAAAGTAAGGGCCTATAATGCCTTACGTTGACATAGCCGCCCAAACTGTCACTTTAGGGCTATGTAAGGGCTTTTGATGTTTGCGATTTGGATTTTCGCAACTCCAGTAGCGACAATTTTGCTTATTGACATGGCCGTTGATGTGAAAGTGAGCCTCATCAGAGAATAACACGTTATTAAAAGAAGTAAAGCAGTTCAACATTTCATTTGCGAAATTTAGTCTGTGGATAGTGTCAGTATCTTTTAATTCCTGTACTATCTGAATCTTGTACGGGTGAAGATGTAAATCTTTCTTTAAAATTCGCTGTAACGATGTTCTGGGTAAGTTTAATGCACTGGAACGCTTACGAGTAGACTGGGTAGGATTTTCACGAATTGAGTGTTTCACTACATCGATGTTTTCTTCCGTCCGTGATGTCCTTGGTCGACCTGACCGTTTTTTATCCAACGTCGAACCACTCTCTTCGAACTTAATAACCCAGTTCTTAATCGTTTGAACACTTGGAATGTCTTTAAAGTTGCGTTCAATAACCACTCTCTTCGAACTTAATAACCCAGTTCTTAATCGTTTGAACACTTGGAATGTCTTTAAAGTTGCGTAAAATCTGATACTCTCGCAATTTACGCCGCGCAATGGTAGCCGAATCATTGTTTCGATAAAACTCGCGCACACAAAATGCACGGTCCGCACCGGTGAAACGCTCCATGGCGACTGAATTCCCAGAAACCGTCGGTACTCCCCCGCATCGCGCGCGCCACTCATGCGCGCCTTTTGTATTTTATTCGAAATTTACATTTCTAACGACTTATGGGCCACCTTGTATTTCTTTTTCATCGGAAGAGATGTGATTACCATATTTCATCGTTTTGGGAATACTATTAGCATTATTTTTAACGCCAAAAGAATTTTATGCCATCGTCCAAAGAAGATTCGACGGAGGAAACAAAATTTTTATATTTTTAAGTTTTTTACATCTGTTGCGTAACATGGAAAATGTATCATAATCCCGAGGACTCATATTTTTTGAAACGACGATGATATTTTAGTTTTCTTTTAAGCTTTGCCATAAAGCAGGTGTGAATTATTTTAGAAAAATTACTTTTGAAAAAATTAGGTCCTTTTTGTTTTTAAAATTAATTGAGTTTATTTCAACAAGATTAATATCTGCAACTAATGAGGGGTGGTGGTGATCTAAGCGGCTCAATGGCCCCACTTCATAAACCTGAATCCTGTTCGAGCTGAATAGAATTAGGTCTAAAAATTGTCCATTGTTATTTGATATACTGTTATAATTATCAAGGTTACATATTCTAAGGGTATCACAAAGCAGATTAGCTTTTTGACCTCGCCGGTGAAGAGGAATCATATAATTATATTGTGATGATCTAGACCAGTGAACGTCGGGTATATTAAAATCCCCTATACAAAGAAATTCTTCAGTGTTGCGATATCGCATAATTACGTTTTGACAGTTTGTAAAAAATTTATCGATGCAGTCTTAAGGCAGATCTGGCGCAAGATAACATAGACAAATATTAACATTAGTGGCTTTTGGCAATATGCTGATCCACAATTCTTCTAGTTCACTATTCCAGGAAGCTTGATAGATAAACTTTATTTCTTTTTTAACGGCAATTAGAATTCCCCCGCCCTCAGATTTACGTGCATTTGATTGATATCTATCACGCCTTACAACATTATAACGAGTGTCAATGAATCCGTCAGAAATAGTGCTATTTAAGTTTGTTGTAATTAGACAGATAATGTTGTAATCATTATTAAGTACATTAAGGTGAAACTCTTTTGTTTTTGATCTTAAGCGATTAACATTTTGATAATAAATTAACATTATATAATAGTAAAATTACCAAATACATAAACCAAGTATAGCAACAAAAAAAATTTGTGATATTATGACAGCTTTTTATACCCTTATTACACTACCCTGAATCAGGCTCCCTACGCCCTGATTCAGGCTGGTGTAATAAGAGAAAGGGGGTAAGGGTCCCTAATTAGGGCGTCAAAGTGGACCCGGTCTGCAGTGCCCTTCCACCGTGCAGTGTAATAACACTAAGGGAGTTAGGGCACTTACTCGATGCGCGACTAGGGATGCAAACGATACATCAATTCTTTCAAACATCGATATATCGTTCATAAACATGGTTTTTCGTGAGCTATGTTTTATAAACGATGTTTTGCCGCCAGAGGTTACGAAATAACCAACTATTCGAAGGTAGAAAATACCGTATGTTAAAAGTTGCGAACGATGATTAACACGAATTCTATGTTCCCAAAAAATAAATATTCGAAACAAAATATGTTAACGTTAGATAACGTCTAAATTTTTAAAGTTAAAAGATTTACGAGTATTTGGCACAAATAACTATATCCCGAAAATTTTATCAACAAACGGGCGAATGGTCTTTCAGCCGAAAATAAATATACTTGAACTTCAGAAGTACAATTGTCTTCTATCGGTAATACCATTTTCGATGTTAACTTGTAGTTATTTTTATTGTGATAATTAATTGACATAAGTTTACAAATATTGAAAATGGATTGAAATTGTTTTATTCATTTTCCTATTCATAATTATATTGTTTGAGCTTTAACTTAATGAATAGCTTAAATACAGTCTTATAAGTTAATAGTTATTTTGTATTGGAAATTATTTTATCGGCTTACGGTACTTCGGATTTCGTTACAATCATTTTTCTGAAATATTGATTTTTATGGATGAACGGTTTTTCACCTGTTTGTATTTCAGTATAGTTTCGTAGATGTATTCAGAAAATGTGATAATACTGAAGGTAGCATATGGAACTACTATAAAAAATTAACGCACCACATCATACGAAATAAAATTAAAGCAGAAGACGAGTTTCATATGTGGGATATCATAAAAGGGTTATTTCCCGGGCTTCATAGCCTAAATAAGATCTATTTGCCTATCGTGGCAACTTCGTAATCACGTGAGCGGTTATTTTCAAAGGCTGGCTCTACAATCACCCAGGGCTAGGCACCAGGTTGTCAAAATTATTATTTTAAAATTCAATTCGAAAGAAATAAACATAAAAAAAATATTTAATTAATTCTTATTTTCTGATAATTATTCGATAAAATTAAATACACACGGTCAGTGGCGAAGCTTCCATTAAAGCCGAAAAGCCGAGCTTGCCTTATTAAACCTGAATCAACCAATAATATCAACTAATAAAAGAACTCGTAAAATGTTTCAAGCTATTTCAAATTTCCCGCGCACTCCACTGTTCGACACATGTCGACCAATGACTTCGATTGCCTAGCGATACTGCTGCTGTCATAAAAAATGAGTTTTAATAGAGCTAATAGTTGTCTCCCTCGCTCGCGTGGGCTTTTTTACGGGGCTTTCGAGAAGACGATCGCTCTCTTTCTAACCTATGGCAAAATATTCTATAATGAAATATAACTACGATTGTATATTTAGCAATTAGTATAGAGATTTAAAGCATGTATCATATGAAAATAATTTGATCTATTTAAAAATGATTTCTCTAGAAAACCGCAGGGATATTATTGATTTGATTTTTGCTTCTAAAATTATTAGTGGTGTTATTGACTGTCCTGAAATTTTAAGTAAATTTAATATGTGCATTCCCTTTCGTTATCAGCATTACGCTCGTAAGATTACGCCATTGACTAGACCATATCGAAGAACAGTGTTTGGCTCCAATTCTCCAATTGCTAGAATGAGTAAACTTGTTAACAAATTTAGAGATAAAATTTATATATATTATTTTTCGACCCTTCTAACAAGCTCCGTCACACCTTAAGAGACCATCTTTTGTAATATTCTATATAATATGTTCTTTCCTTTTCGCTTCTATATATTTTTAGTACTGTATTTCGTTATCATTTTTTTAAATCTTTCATTATCCTAGAAATATAGGTACACAGTGCTGAGAAAGTTATTTGCATGTTGTATCCACCTGTAATTATTTGTACATTTTAATTCTTATCGCTTCATTGTATTTAATTAGCATGTAAGCAGTGGCAAAGCTAGAGCTCCAAACTAGGGCAAGCCCAAGATATAAATTGATAAAAATATAGATTGTTGTTTTTAGCAGTTTTATAAAAATACACCAATCTTGATCAGTCTCCATGCTTCAGTTTCATATTCAGTGCTGTCAAGGATGTGTTTAACAAAGCACACAGAAGGCATACCACTGCTAGATAGATTGTATTACATATCAGCAATTGCATAGCTTCGGTGGCTTTGAAGAAAGCCGTTTGGGTTTGTTTAAGCGAAAGAAAAAAATATTTACATCCAATACAATACATGAACAAAAGTAAAACATGAACAAAGTAAAAACAAACTATGTACAAAATTAAAAAAACGATATGGAAGTGTGGGGCGACTCTACAACACCTTACTCCCCCAAATTCCTGCCAAATGATTCTAAATTTCAACCTGTGGATAACTTTTTCATCATCATTCATCATTACAGCCCTTCACAAGTCCACTGCTGAACATAGGCCTCCCCCAAGTAATGCCACAAAGCATGGTCCTGAGCCACCTGCATCCATCGACTTCCTGCATATCTTACCAGGTTGTCACTCCATCTAGTGGGGGGTCACTCGAGAACCTTTCTTCCCTATCGGTTATCAGTTCTTCGAGCTATATGGCCGGCCCATTGCCACTTCAGCTTACTAATCCGTGATAACTTTTTGGTGGGAAGAAAATACCTGAGAGGCTATACACAATGCCTTTGAAGAATTTGTTGCCTTTTGTCCAGCTGATTTCTTCAAGAAGAGCATGTGTTAGCACAGATGCATTGTTTGCATGGGTGATTACTTTTGTTAATAGAAATAAAACATATAGAAAAAAATTACGTTAACTTATTTCATAAAGTATGACAGTTTCTTAAGTAAAGACCTAATATAATGTATTAAAGTATTATTATATTATTTTAACTTACCAAAACTAGTTAAAACCGTCTTGCCATTATCCATGTTGTGCCTGGTTAGTGTATGATCAAAATCAGTCACTATTTGTAGCTTCCTGTGACCATCCTTGATTACTTTATTTAATTTATCTAATAATTCTTCCTTGTTTTTAATATAAATATTGTCTTTATTCAGCTCAGGAATATCGCGTATACTTGTTAGTAAGTTCATTGCTGTAACATTAGTAAGAAATAAACAAAATTTCTTTGGTCTAATAATATTCGAAATTAATTTTATACGTGACATTTTATAAATTGCCCAATATTATTCTTGAGATTTCACTTTCAGTTTTTTATTTAGTCTTAAAGAAATGATTGTTTTATGACTAAAATTTATTTATAATACTTAATACCTCAGTTTATTCTGCTTCGTAGTTATCAGAAAATGCAATCAACAAACCGTAATATTTTATAATATCCAGTAATAACGTATAAAATCACTAGGTAATCAACCTGCACCTGCCATTCACACTCAAGGTCACAGACTACCATTACCACAGACAGACTACCAGTACCAGCGTGACCAGATTTCGTCTGACGAATCTACTGCTTGTGGAGGTTAAAAGCTACCGAATTCTACCAAAACAGAACGAGAAAATACTAAAAATCTATGATATATTTTTATGCTGTCGTAAACGATAAAATAATAAAAATAACAAAGAAAACACCATTAATTAAAGAAATCAATGGTTTTTTTTAAATTAAAAATTCATAAAAAAAAAAAAAACAAATTTCTCATGTTTAACATTTCATAAATTTTTGAGTTCATTAACTTGATCTTTCAAATCAACTACAGGATTCTGTCAGGATCAAATCAACTACATCCCCTTCCAACTGTCGTAGCCCCTCTTTTTCATGCATTATTGCAGCAACATTCTTATTATTAAATCGATTTCGATCTTGATTTTTAATCCTATTAATATCGGAAAATATTATTTCTACTTTGGCGTTTGACAAAGGTAGTATCTAAAATGTATGTAAATTACTAACAAAAATGTTAATGAATATGTATTTCTGAAATAAACATTATTATTATTGGGGTATATATATAGTTTTCTCATCTGGTTGGGTTTTATAAATTTATAATTATAAATTAAAATGAAAAGATAAGTATACATAAATATCAATAAAATAAAATAAAATAAAATAAATACAAAAATACATAAATAAATAAAGATCCAACCAGATGGAAGCCCTCGGCAGGAGAGACCAGACGACCGAGGATTAGGAGGAAAGGGAAAGAAACCGGCGGACGATGCGGGCGGTATCGAGGAGCACTGCCTTCTGCATTTGAGCCCGGAGCGGTCCGTTACGGAGTCCCGGTCGCCTCAGATGACCCGAGAGGCTGACCGGGATTAGTCCATTCGCAGAGACGACTACATGAATAATTTCGGCCGGCAGACCACCCCACATGTCGGTCACCTCGTGAGCCAGGACCAGATATTTTGTTCGCTTATCTGTTTCGGTTTTCACGAGGTTCTCGTAATACTTAATGGTAAGGTCGACCAAAAATATCCTTGACTGTGTCCGGTCCATTAGCACAATATCAGGCTTATTCACAAGAGTAGTCCTGTCTGTGATGATGGCCCAGTTCCAGTAGAGCCTGGCGCGGTCATTTTCGTGTACGGATTCCGGAAAGTACTTATAATACGGCAATTTCCGGTCCACGAGACGACGAGCGAGCTCCTGGTGTAGAATTCTGGCTACTAGATTGAGTCTGTGCAAGTACTCAGAGTTAGAAAGCGCCGAAAAACTGGAGATGACATGCCTAAGCGACTCACCGGGATGGCGACAAGCTCGACGGACGTCGACGGTGCCATCCTTTAGGATATATCTCCGATAGTTGTTGGTCTTAATGACCTGATCCTGTATTGCACGGACAAAACCTAGTTGAGGGAGGCGGATGTATCTACGAAGGGCTCATGTAGAGCCTCCCTGCTATTCGCTCCTTGCTATTCGCATTACAGATTTGGCTGACTTCACAGCAAAATTTATCCACCATAAAAGTTTCAAACGTCTAACTAGAAGTTGACAGTAAATTAGACACGGAAACATCTAATTTTAATTCCCTATATTCATTGTCAACAATTTGCATGTTTTCTGTTGCAACTACGGTAGGAAACCTTTGGAGTATTATTATCAGAGTTCGAAATTCACCATACACTGCTTTTAGGGGATCGATGAACGACAAATCCTGCAAAAAATTAACTTGTACAGGCAGTCTTTGCAGAAATTGGTTACTCAGCTCGATCAAAAATGAACTCATTCGAACATCATCTTTTAATGATTCCAACGTCATTGCTACGTTTGTGCCCAGGTACATGTTTTGTATAGGAAGGAAATGCATTCTTGGACTTGGATCTATTGACTGAAACGGAGTAGTTTTGATATTGAGTCCTTACATATGAAATTAGCGTTTTGTCGTACTGATCACTTTGATCTGAAATATTTTCTCTTTGGTTAAGAATTCCAAATTCAGCTGGTACATTTGAGTTTTGAAAACAGTTATTCATTTGTTTTTTCCTCATATTTTTTTTTCTTTATCTCCATACTAGAATTTTCTTTTATTTCCACTGCAAGCCACTGCGCTATGGAGCCGTCATGAGAATATGTTGTGTACTTAGTACCTACTCTTATTAGTTTGTGGTTGTGTACCTATAAGAATAAAGGTTATCTCGCACGGGACAGATAATGTAGTATTATATCTTCCAATATCTGCACATAAGAGTGTTTAAACTTCCTTTAAAATTCCGAAATTTCGAGGTATGTCCCATTAAAAAGCTGAATAGAGCCAAATTGAGCTGCATGGATCGTTTAGTGTGAAATCTATGAGTCACATCATTATCGAAAAAATTGTAGGTGCAATTGAGCATATTTCTTTAGAAAACACAATTCCAAAAAATTCTAGAAAATAATTGCAAAGTAGCCTCTGAAAATACTTAAATTCCCAATTTTCTCAGTTTTCCATAAAATAATGTCGACGATATTAAGTACAGTTATGTGTCACATGACTAATTAAATTTAAATAATTCATTTTGTGGCTTAGTCATACCAATGAGCCACATCTCTGTCACTCCTAATAAATTTTAATGCTTACTGAAGTTCAGCATCTCTAGACTAAACTGAATTGCGAGCTGACGATGATTCAAGGTATTACTTTTATGCCGAAGACTATATTTAATTTTATTTTATTACTGTTAAATGTAGTGTTAAAGTAGCTATAAGTAAATTAGTGTTTGTAGATGAAAATTGTAAATAATCGAATTTGTTAATACTTACATATTATATTAAAAATGAGCCCGCCATCCACCGTCAACGAGACTTGTTTTGCGAAAGCGAATATACCTATTATCTAATCCTAAAAACTATTTCAAAAAATTTTATAGGTCCTACACCTACAAGGAATATTTGGCAAAACAAATCTTGTCAGTTTCAAATAAACGCGACTATGTTCATATTGAAAGAAATGCACGTCATTACGAGGTTTATTTAAAACGAATACTATCAATATATTATCATCATCATCTTCATCATCAATACAGCCTTTCACAAAGTCCACTGCTGACATAGGCCCCAAGGAATGCCACAAAGCACGGTCCTGAGCCCCCTGCATCCATCGACTTCCTGCATGTCTTACCAGGTCGTTACTCCATCTAGAGGGGTGTCACCCTACACTTTGCCTACTGATACGAGGCTGCCTCTCGAGAACCTTTTTTCCCCTACGGTTGTCAGTTCTTCGAGCTATATGGCCAGCCCATTGCCACTTCAGCTTGTAAATCCGTTGGTCTATATCGGTCACTCTGGTTCTACTGCGGATATCCTCATTTCTAAGTTTATCACGCGGAGAAACTCCGAGCATAGCCCTCTTACTCGACCTTGAGTGTCCTCATACGGCCAGCAGTGAAGGACCACGTATCAGATCCATAAGTCTTCACTGGCAGCTCGCACTGGTTGTACAATCTAGTTTTCAGGTTTTGAGGACCTGACGAGAAGATGTATCGTAATTTTCCTAACGCTGCCCAGCTGACTTGAATCCGTCGATTGACCTTGTCTGTAGTTCTTCAAGAGATCATTGTCGCCTTTCTTGAAAAACACGCCTCTGGAGTAGTGCCACCATGGAGGATGGAATTGAAGAGCTTCTGAAGGAATTTAGTGTCGAATAAAACTTGCCCTTAGATCGTTACTCACACTTGTGTGTGGCTCCAGCGATGTTATATACAACTGCCCATAGAACCTCTCAATCTCAATCAAAATCTCAGGTGTCCCGAAACAATGCTGCCACACTCCGTCTTCAGATTTGAGGGTTGGCTCTTTCTGGCAGACAGATCTCTGGCAAAGACTTTGGAGCCCTGATTCCGTTCGATCGTTTCTTTAATACGAGCAGTATTAAAGTTGCGTAAGTCCCACCGCATGCATTAGGAGATCTGTCCGTTCTTCTGCCTGTATGCTGTCAAATCTATTGAAGACTGCAGCATCATTTTCCATCTAACAGCCATGAGATTAAAAGTGTGATCAAAAAGTTATTATGTTCTTCTACAGCAGGCTTGGAAAACAACTTTGTCATTCACACGAGCTTGTCATTTATATCTTCCACTGCATTGCAGTCTTCTAGGATCTGAAAACGGTGTTGTATATCGCGCTGAATGGTTTTGGGACTTTGAATTAGAGTATGAGGGAGACGGAGAGTTAACTTCATTAGACGAGACCTTTCCAACTTAACGTTTAGGTTCAGTGCAATCACTGAGACATCACTGTGCAGTTGCCGTCTAATCGTCACAATGAAGTTAATCTCATTTTTGTCGAATCGACGGGGCTCGATTAGGTCCACTTTCTGTCGGACCGCTTCTGGAAGAAAGAGTTCATCATAAAGAGTCCCTCTTTCCCCCCAACACCGAATAGGGGAGGCGCCAAACCCTCCCCCTAACCAACAACCCCTGCCCCCAAAAATCCACACCTTCCTTCCCCTCCCCTTCTTTTTCTCCCGGAACCACACCACCAAAAAACCCTCATAAAATGCAAGAAGTTAAGTTTTCATTATGTTCTCATCGTCTCTTTGTATAATTTCTGTTCCCAGTGGTTCATATTGATTTGACAACACGGCGAACATGCAAATTATTTTTCGGGTGACATGTAGTAATCCTGTCCTGTTTGTCTTGGACACAGAAATTAAATTTTTGGTATTAATAGCTTGAACTACGCCTGTTTTGTGTGTCGTTATTGGACACTTGATTTCGATGATTGAGTCATCACCACACAGGCCATCCAGAGTTGCTCCTTGAAATTAAATTTCTGGGTTTATAAAAGTCCACCGGGTTTTATTATTATATTTTCTTGTCTTGCCAGTTATTCAAGGGCAAGTTTTTCGTTTTTACGACCATGTTTTAAAGACTG